TATCAATTGTATTTTCAGTTTAGTATTTTTTTGTTCTTTTGCTGGTTTTGTGTCGAATTGATTATTTATTAATTTGATTGTTTGTTCATCTGGTCATTTCATAATTCGTTTAATTTATCAACGTTATCAATATTAGTTGTATATTAAGTTAGTTATATACTTTGTTTGATTGTGTGTTTCCTTTTTGTCCTGAATTTGTTTAATTGTGTGTTTATCATCAATAAGTTGTGAACAGCAAAACTTCATCACAACCTGTTGGACAATGTGAACCGCTGAAAAGTTGGATAATTGTTTTTACGCTAAAGAAAAGAAAAACTTCGACAAGAGCAAACAATCCAGAAGAAACGACACTGATAAGGCGTTTAACACACACACACACACAAAGAGAGAGAGAGAGAGAGAGAGAGAGAGAGAGAGAGAGAGAGAGATCACAAAGTGTAAAATAAAAAGCTCAAATAAAAAAACACCTTTAAGCCTTGAGGAAAATGTTGAGAGAAAATTAAAGACCCTTATTTAGAATTTCCTTTCATGTTTTGAATAAAAAATACATAAATAAAGATGAATTCGTAACGGTTATTTGTCAATATCTCAAGTTCTTCAACCTTTAGGTTTTCCCAGTACAAATTTTATTACTCTACTCTCTAAAAGTACGTTTAAATCCTTATTCTAACTCTTTCTTGAATAAACAAATATTTTCTGCTTCTTTGTTATTTGCAATGTAGGTCAGAAACATGATTAGGGTCAGGGATATTGGAGTTAAGGATTCCCAAGGAACTCTACCACGAACAAACAAGAGCGCTTTTTTCATTCCATGGCTATTATCACACCACTAAAAAAACATCACGATTTGCAAATTCTTCGCTCCGAATCAAGAGAAAATAAGATACATTTTTGTCAAAAGGAAATTAAAAAATAAGAATTCAGAAAAATACACCTTATTAATAAACATGGACAATAAAAACGGAGTTTGTCTTTTTCAGTTGTTAGTTCTTTGTTTACTTTGTTGAAGGTTTTTTGGTTTGGTCGGTCGGCTGTTTTTTAAAAATTTGGTTGGTAATTGATCAGAAGTTTGGTTTGATAAGTTTGTTGCTCGATGCTAGTTTAATTAGTAGGCTGTCATTGGTTCGATAGTTTAGTGGATGAATATTTACCTAGTTTGGTTTAGTTGTTTAGTGATTGTTTAGAATCTGGCTGGATGTTTAATTAGAATTTTGTTTTTTGGTCGATAGTTTTTCCGGTTAATTGAATCATGAGTTATTTGGTTGTTTGGTTAGTCGTTAATTTGGTGGTTTTTTGTAAAGAAGGTTTGTTACTTGTTCGGGATGTTTCTTCTTTTTTTTGTTTGAGAGCGTGGTTTTGTAGTTTAGTTGGATGTTTAATTAGATGGTTGTTCTTTGTACGTTAATTTGTTTAGGTTTATTCGTTCAATAATTTGTCCAGCGTTTAGTGGGTTGAGTGGTTGTTTAGTTTGTTTATTTTCTTGTTGGTGTATTGGTTGTATGATGAGTGGTTTGTTTAGTCTGATGTTTAATTAAATGGTTTTGGTCGGTAGTTTGTTTTGTTGATCGCCTGGTTTTTTCTTGTTTGGCTGATGTGGCCTGGTGTGACGTAGGTTTTAGAAAAACATTTTCTTTATCGTGCCAACGTTTCGATCTTTACCGAAATCATCTTCAGCGCCTGGGATTTATAAACATTGTTTAAATTATACAAATTCGTGTAAGATGTGAAAATGAATTTATACAATGACAGACATTTTAGGTTTAATCAAAGTATTTGTACTCACTGAAAAAGTGTGAGTCTCAACATACAGCAATGTGCACAGAAAATATCTGCACAGAAAACACACACTTTGAGTGAGAAAAAGTACTTTAATTGAGTCTAAAAGTTCTATCATTGTATAAATTCATTTTTTGATTATTTAATTAGTTAATGTATTTTCGTTTGTAGTTATTTAGTCGATAATTTATTCTAATTGATTGAATTTTGTATCTGTCCTCTGTTTGGTTGGTCGTTAGTTTGGTTGATACTTTAATTTGTTTCTGGTTGTTTGCACTTCAACCCTCAGGGTGCCGGTGTTTTTGAAAAAAAGCCCATTTGTAAGTATGTCGGGTTCGAATGTAGGGGGGCCGCTGGATTCGAACCCGGGACCTTTACCTTACAGTGATGAGCGCCGTGTCAACGCCTAAACCGTTGCGGCCACCGATGCCCCTCTAAGAACATATTGTTGTTATGGCATTTATTGTATGGTATTATTTAATATTAGTAATATTTTATATGAAAACTAATTTTTTAATGTAATATAAACCAACTGTGATGGATCTTTTTTTTAGTATTTAGCTCTAACAGTTCATATCAGTGTTTTAGTTCATGTAATGAAAGATGCACTTACTTGCTAACAAGATTGAGGTTTTTTTTTAATTTTTACTCGAACTGAATAATTTTATGAGCAAAACTATCGTCTTTAAATTAAAAAGAACATAGACTGTGGGTTTTAAAGTCTTAAAAAATATTTTATGAAAGTCTTTCAGTTCCTAGAAATATTTATGTAACTATGTTGTAATGTTATAATTCGGGTATGAACACTGTTACGGAATAATTACAACAAAGGCATACCATAAACGAGAAAACTGTTGACGAAATAGAACAAAGTTCGAACAACCTCGACAATGTAGAAATAAACAGACTGTCACTCTATCGATAACGTTACAGGACTTGAAATAAAACCCCAAACTGGTAAGGGTGGAAAGGACGCCAAACATTGACAAGCTTCACTTTTATTTTCAAGAGGTGGAAACTAACATAAAAGGGCAAGCAAGTACGTGCGGCAAACAGACGCCCATTGAAGAGCAGAAATGTTGAGACCAACAGGCCGTATATGTTATACTTTCATCAAAATAACATATTGCGTTTAATGTTAATAATTTATACAATTGTTAGGATGAGCTGTAACGAAAGTAAATAATTAGTGATACTTTAAATTCAAGTACCGTTTTAATCTTACTACAGGTTGCTGAATGCCCACTCGAAGAAAATAACACAAATTGCAAAAGGAAAGTTTCAATTGAAAATAATAGAAAAAATGTTTGAGAAAAAACGCAATCCTTATACGTTAAATTATATATTCTATACTATATTGTACAATTAATTTTTCTAAATTGCCTAAATTCTAAATAAAAAAATCGTACCATTACAATAAAATTGAATCAAATCAACTATAAAGCCTTTTTCAAACTAATCGATGAAAAAGAATTCAACAACAACTATCTTATTAAACTAACTTAATTTTAAAGTTTTGAAGTAGTTATAAAACGTTCGTTTTATTACATCGCGAATCTAAATCAACCCACGCCCTGTTTTACAGCCTCTTTCGTATAACGATTTGAGTATGAAAACTGTTTTATGTCATGCAACGTGAAAATGTAAATGAAATTGTAGCTTCGAGTGTTAAAACTTTAATTTACATTTATTTTTAAAATATCTTTTATGAAATGTATTGGTAGAAAATGTGGAAATCACATAGGGAAATTTCAATTTAAAATATAAAAGATAATGAATTAAATTCGTTCTTTTGATTACATATATGTATTGTGTATTACATATGTGCGCGCGTGCGTGGTTGCATATAAAAATAAAATATAATGATTTCATCAGACTTTTCTGTTCGCCATCTTTTAAAAACTAAGCAATCTTTAAGCATATGTGCAACTCAAATTTGAGAAAATTACATTATACAAAAAAAAATTTTTGTTTCGTTGTCTGTGTGTATCTCTGTGTTCGTTCCATTGTGTGGAAATAATAGAGAATTTAAAAATGTTACTGGGGCTTTAGATTAATCTTGCTAAAAGTCAAACAGGGCCAGATAAATCAGACGTGTTTCTTCTCAAGTACATTCATGAAAATGTTGCCCAAAATTTTCAAGTTTCAAAAGTTGAAGATGATAAGAAAATCTGTAGTCGCTGTACTTTCTTATAAGTACTTGATATATTTATATTGATAAAGGACTTGATATTCTTATATAAGTACTTGATAAAGAAAAACACCGCTAATGGTTGAGACCTTTAAAGTAATAGCACACCATCATAATATCATATAAGAAACTAGTGCCTTACTTTACAGCAAATTTCTCCACCCTCGAATTCTCATCAATACAGCAACTTTACAAGACAATGCGTGCTCTTTAAACTTAGAAATTAATGATTATTTGGAGATAGTGAGATGGGGGTCTGATGTGACGTAGGTTTTAGAAAAACATTTTCTTTATCGTGCCAACGTTTCGATCTTTATTGAGATCATCTTTAGGGCCCGGGATTCATAAAAATTGTTTAAATTATACAAATACATGTAAGATGTGAAAATGAATTTATACAATGATAGACATTTTAGGTTTAATCAAAGTAGTTCTCCTCACGGAAAGAGTGCCAGTGAGTTTCAGCACGACACACAGCAATGATACATCTACACAGAAAACACACATTTTGAGTGAGTAAAAATATTTTGATCGAGTCTAAAATGTCTATCATTGTATCAATTCATTTTTTTCACATCTTAAACGTATTTGTATAATTTAAATGTTCTGTACGTGAGTGTAATTATGACGATAATGTGATTTCTTTAAAAACAAAATTAGGTCACTTGGACTTTTCAACCATTCTGTGAGAAAGAGGGAAAAAATGTCAATATTAATCACATTATCAAGTAATTTCCTCCTGTGATCTAATGGGGTTTAATCTGTAATTTGGTCGTAACCGATCATTTGGTCTGCTTATTCTCGTTGGTTTATCAGACATGTCCCGGCTTCTCGCCATCAACAATGTGTCTGTATGATTCTGTCAAGTCAGATCTGTTTTATAAGGTCGTGCGGTGTGGGATGCGTGTGTTCTGTTTGTCGGTGCCTTTAGTGGATTAAGTCTGGCTTTTTTTTATTGTTCCGTTCGGCCTTTCTTATAGTCGATTATTTTCAGAAATAAATGGAAGTTTTTTTAAAAATAAATTTTTCTTACCAACCCTCTCAATAAAAATAGTCCTTCGAAACTTTTTGATGAGGAACAATTTTTTTCTGTACGGTTTCGTGTTCAGTGTCGACTTTACTCGACGACTGTCCAAGACGTTGACTACGTGCGGATTTGGGCAAGACTGAGTTTCAACTTTCAAGGGGGAAGCTGTCACAACTTGCGCGCATGTCAGGGGTGGGAAAGCTGGCAGGAAATGAGCGAAAAAGTTAACGAATTCGACTTGAAACTTGGTCCGAGTAATTATAAAAGCAACAATTATAGTCCAACTCCACCCGTCATGTAGATGACATTTGAAAGAAGAAAGGCTGGGGAGGGTTGAGGCGTCCGTTTCTAACAGGGTGGCTTTGAACATTTCGATCATAAAAAATTAAATAAATAACCGGTCTCTAAAAATAAAACAATTGTCTTGTCTTTTATAATCATTTACCAACTTTACTCCTTCGGATTACATAAGAAAAACACATTGAAAACTATGGCTGAAATACCACAATTTCCCACATTTCTCAAAATAAAAGGAGAATCCTTTAATTTTATATTTACTTTATTTAATTTTAATTGTAATTAATTTTTTCATGGTCTTCTAAGGGCTCATTATTTTATATTTAAACAAATCTCATTTTTTTTTTTTTTTTTTTCAAATGCAAGAATTTTACTATACTTGCTTACAGTTCATACTACTCCTATGTTGCTTAATGTTTTAAAGAAAGGGTTAATTCTAAATTAAAAAGACCATTTAAAATTAAAAATGGTTAATTTGAAATTAAAAAGGTTGTTTCTAGCAAAAAAAATGGTTAATTTGAAATTAAAAAGTGCTCATTGAGCCTAAAAGAGGTTAGTTTGAAGGAAAACAGCTATTAAAAAATGAAAAATAAAAATAATGTAAATGAGTGTAAGTAGAGTGTAAGTTTCTAGCAAAAAAAATGGTTAATTTGAAATTAAAAGGGTGGTTTCTAGCAAAAAAATGGTTAATTTGCAGTTAAAAGGGTGGTCTCTAGCAACAAAAAAAATTGTTAATTTGAAATTAAAAAGTACTCATTGAGCCTAAAAGGGGTTAGTTTGAAGGAAAACAGCTATTAAAAAATGAAAAATAAAAATAATGTAAATGATTGTAAGTAGAAAAATTACAATAATAAATAATATAGGTACTCTCTTCGTTAGTCCTGTTTTTAAATTTGGGCTAAAGTAAATGTAAATAAGATCCAGATTTTTTTTTTCAAATGTTCTTTTTTTTAATGTTACTTTTCAATCACAACTAAAGTGTGATAATTTTACCTTGAAGGACCTTGGTATGCAGATAGTAAGATGTAGGGCAAGAAATAGACTTGTAAACGTTTGTTGGCTGAATTTGTCATTTTTTTAAAAACTTCAAATATACAAAAAAATAAAGGATACCTCTTTAAATTTGAAATTTTTTGGGCATAAAATAATTATACTAAAAAAATTATAATATAAAATAACAATGTAAAATAATACCTAACCTAAATAAAAATTAATTCCAATAGTTCGAATACCGCTTGTGACACTAATTTTTCATCGAGACCAAAAACCTTAGATAAAAAGAATAATTAATTGGAATAATTAATATGGTCAATTATGACCTCTAAGCAAATATGGAATAATAAAAAATAAAAACAAAATAAAATTAAAATTAAATAAATTATTTTTAAATATAAAACATGTGTGTGTTTTCTTCTCACCAAACTGTTCTAAGCAGATCTGAAATTAAATAATATTTCAATATATTTTTTATTGGGAAAATGGCCCATTAAAACAGCTACGCCTTTTCTGAATTGCAATCTTTCTAAATTACAATGCTCCAATGTATAAGTGATTTAAGCACTATCAATAATGTTGTTTTTGTTGATTAAGAGTGAATGAAAATTGGAAAACTTGTATGTAAGTGGGCTGGAAAAATACAAATTTCTTGACATTTTAAGAAAATCGTACTTTCTACTTGCTCATTCTGTGAAGAATGCCGTTGGTAAAAAAACATATCTTATACAATATATAAATTACATAGGATGTGATACAACACTTCTTTATATTTTTCCCTGTCAAACGAAATAAAAACAAATCTTACATACGACAACATTCGCACTTGACTAATAGATCTAATTTGCACATTCTTTTTTCTATTCTCCCCTCTTCCTTTGTGTCCTATGTCATTTTCCAATTTATTTGATGAAAGACAAGTGGGGATGATGATGAAAATATAAAAGCTTTGTCAAGATGGAAAAAAACATTCATCGGATAGTCCAGGACCTGGTTAGACATGATGAGGGTTGCGGTCCTGGTCTTGTTGACCATTCTTGTTTCATTGACAAGGGATATAGTTGGTTCAGGTCATGAATTTCAAATTTTCTCTCTAAACCTTCTTATGAACATGTGGAATTTTATTAACGTGGTTTATTACTTTTAGGATCTGTGTCTAATGACCATCCGTCGAAACAAAAACAATACGATGAAATTCTGATTGGCTACACTTCAAAATCGAGCAGTGAAGACGTACCAGACTTGGCCAGGCTCAAGAGCTTCAAGAAGGTATTGTAACATTTATTATATAAAATTACTGAGTGTTAATTTAGACGTGTATAGATCGTAAATGGGAAATCATCGCCATTCTTCAAAGACTTAAAAGTAGTCGATGAAGTTCAGAAAATACTCAATCACAAAGGATTCAGAAAAACGGGTGTTTTTGATTTGCTTGATTATGAAATGAGACACCAAACGATAAAACTATATGAACTGTTCTCATCAGTAAGCGATTGGCGAGATCTGAAAAACGTAAGAGATGCTTCTTGACCCAAATCTATTCTATAAAACAATAATTATTAAATAATTGATTACAGATTATAAATGCGCTGAATGGCAAAGTCCATCCAGAGCAGTTGAACTATGCTCTCGCAACGACGACATTCCACCATTTTAACAATTTCCGACTCGCACCTCCAAATTGGTTTGAAGTATATCCAAATTATTTACTACCTGCTGCAACATTGCGAGAATTGTATAGAAGGAAAATGAAAGGTAAATGGTTTTATAGTTGAACAAAATTTATCCAAAAGAATGGGGGCTAATGAGAAATTTGTGGTATTTTAAAATAAAAAGCACTAAAGACAGAAAATTTTCCTTATTTAAATATTCACTTAAAATTATTTTCTGTTTATATCTGACTTGTTACAATAAATATTAATAATAATGTTGTTAGTATAAATGTCACATTGAAGGACATTGCAAAATTATTATTAATTAATAATTTATATATAAAAATCATCATCAGATGTGAAAGGAAAGTGTTTCTCTAATACTAATTTTGAAGAGGTTTTATTAAAAGTAATATTTGGTTTTATGAAGGGATGAAAGAAACTGTCATTTATGTCAATATCGCAAACGAGACTGTCCATGGGAAGAACAGTTACTTCAACGCGTTCAGCGACACTGACCCAGAGTCAAAGCTGAGGTATTTCAGAGACGATACCGGCCTTTCGAACATGTTCATCAACTGGCACATGCATTTTCCGAACTGGCGGCCAGTCGGAAAGATCCCAAAAACTCAAAGCTGGGAAGACAGGGGCCACTTGTTCTACTACTTCCACCAGCAGCTACTTTCGAGGTACAACCTGGAAAGGATCAACAACAAAATGGAACCGGTCGATGGCCTCAGTTGGGACAAAGTAGAAGTAGGTGGAATTTTTTCCATTTCAATTTTTTTTTTTTTTTTTTTTTTTTTAATTGGAAATTGATAAATATTTTCAAGTTTTTAAGTACAGTATTGAGTGTTAAAAATAGCCTTTTTAAACTTCCCGGTTCAAACGATTGTACACAAAAGAAAAATTCTCTACCTTAAAACCTTGAAAATCAATTCCGACTTCCTTCTATCCTTTAAACTGTTTTGAATAGATTTCAAGGACAGTTAAATAAAAAAATTCTTTTCAAATCTTATGTTCAATTGTTCAATTTGATTTGTAAATAATATTTTCACTATTTATAAACTTTTTTTTATAAAGATGGGAAGATATGTCTTGGACTTGCTCGACAATGATGGAGACCCGATACCCGGCAGGCATGCAGGTGCACCAAATATACAAAACACTTGGTGGAAGCGTGTCAACGATTTAACAGGGCTGCAACACAGAATATCACAAGTCGTCGATTCCAACCTGATTCTAACTGTAAATATTTCTTTGCCTTGACGAATATCATAAAAATATAAATTCATTCTATTTTCTAAAGACGTCCTGTTACCATTTGGAAGAGCTGAGAAAAGGATCCGAAATATACCAACTTGGCAACACCATCCTCGGAACTGGAAATTCTTCGCATCCTGAATACTACGGATCATACTTTTTTGAGGGCACCGACGCGGTTAATATTATGGGCAAGGGTGACATTGCTGATAATGTAAGTATGGATTAGTCTAATTATTGTTTTTTTGTTTTTCTAATGCTGTTCATTTGAATAAAGAAAGAGCCAGGGTTCTTCTTCAAAATGCTGACAACTTTAAGAGACCCCATTTTTTATTCTATGTTGGAAAATATAAGATCTTTTATTCAAGACTACACAAATACATACATTTCTAATTATAAAGATCTGGATGTAAGTGTTTAAAATTTACTATAATAGAAAGATTTGTTCTAAAACACTTTTTTTAAAGGAAATGTATGATTATGAAGGTCTTTCGCTTGATTCTGTTAAAATAAACAATGAACTTACCACATATTTTGATTATGAAGAAATAGATGTGACAAAAGTAATCGATCTTGCTCCAAATGAAAAACTAGAGGATATCAAATACAAAGCCAAGGTATTTCACATGCTGATAGAAAAATAAACCAATTATTTTATTCTTTTCAAAATTTTCAGATTTTGAAATTAAACCACAAACCTTTCAGCTACACGGTTAAAGTAACAGCGAATAACAGTTACTTGAAGTCGAATAACACCGGAGAACCACCGCAAGTCATGTTCCGCCTGTTTTTGGGGCCGAAACACGATTGGAAGGGAAGATTGATGGACTTCCAATCGGCGATTCACTACTTTGTTGAAATTGACCGTTTTCCTATTAACTGTTTGTATAGCCAATAAAAATATACACTTTTATGAAATTTTTTGGTAAAAAAAATTGAAATTTTAGTGAAAGAAGGAACGACAGAAACAACTAGAAACTCCAAGGACTCTTCTATTTATGTAGATGGCGAATTAAACTATGCTAAAGTTATTGAAATGATGAAAAGTGGCAAAAGAACAGGAAAAGATTGGAACCTGGACTACACTAAGGTTTGTCATCACAATTTAAACAAGAGACTTTTAAAAAAAATATATTTATTTTCAGGAAATATCATTTTGTGGTTTGCCCAGTAATCTCATGCTACCCAAGGGTGAGCCTCATGGAAATAAATTCAGAATAATTAGTCTGATAACTCCGTTTAAGCCTGAGGAGCAAGGCGAAGTGATCAGGGAATTCAAGTCTTTCCCACTTTGCGGAAACTTGAAGATGATGGACCACTGGACTGGATTTCCCTTTGATAGGTACAGTTTAAAACACGCTTTTGGCAAATTAAATTGTTTACTAAAAAAAAAATTGTGCTTTCAGGATTGGATCGATTCACGATGATTACTTCAAACCACCGTTTGCTCTTCAACAAGAGCTTACAATATTTCACACAGATTGAAGAATTATATTTAATTATTTTATTTATTTATTGCATTTTTTAAGGGACTCTTATATGATGTTTGGATGAGATTGTTAATAAAACAAACATGTTGAACTTAATTATTAGAGCCATAATTGTGTATGAGGAAGACTATTTTATTATTTGATTATTTTATTAACTATGTTAATAATATTTTCTTGAAAATATTGATTCTTTTATTACAGAAAAACTCTGATAAATATGTTATTAAAATAAATAATCATCCTTCAATTTTAAACTTATTTTTGTAATATTTGCCAATTTAATCAATAATTAATAATTAATCGAATGAAACTGGTTTGTAAAGTTGTCAGCATATTGAGAATTCCTTACTTTTATAATGATAATTATAATTAGAAATGGTACTTTAAAAATAACTTACATCAAAATAAGACAGATCAGTGATGAGCCAGATTTTAAACCATTGATAATGCATGATCATTTTTGGTCCAACCAATTCTTGCAGTTTTGGCTTGTCAGGTGTTGTTGACGTCTCGCTATCTTCGGTTTGTTAATAATAATTTTAGTTAAAACACTCCACTGAATACGGCAACAAGCTGAAACACATGAGACAGCCGAAATATTTGGAAAAGTCCAAACTACAGACCTCATGATTTTTTTGATGAAAGTACAACCTTGAGTTTGGAGTAAGCAAATCCACAATAATTGGCCAATAATACAATTTAAACTCATCTGGAAAATACAAAAACATTATTTTCTAAACTAAAAATTTCCTTTCTGCTGACCATGGGACTGCGCTGTATTTAATTTTCTTAATTTGTCTCAATCCCAGAAATGAATTTGTACAATTTAGAATCCTATTTGACTTTCATGATTTATGAGATTTCAGTTTTTTGGGGGGAAAATATTCAAACTGGCAACTTACTGCGATGGCCGAGTGGTTAGGGCTGGCCGATTCATATTTGCCAAGCTAACAGTCCTGGTACAAATTCTGTCATAGCCCATGGATTTTTAATTATGAATAGTATGGAGAAAGTATTGTAAAGTGGTTTGACCCCTTGTCTGCAACACCCCCATACTTAACTGTTTGACCACTTTGTGGATGGTAAACATATTTGAAGCTATGGTTTCATCCACAGCACTAACAATTAAATTCATTTGCCTCCTAATTTACTTCAACCTATCAAATAAGCCTTTAATAAAGTAAGAAAAGAGTTGAGCTCAATTTACAACCTTGACATACTTTTTTAATTTTTTGAAGAACAACATTTCTTCTAGTTTGAAGCCACCATTTTGTACAGTGAAATTAATCAAAGTTTCTATTTGATCAAAACCTAGAGTAATATAAACTGAATATGAGTAATAATCTTTAATTAAAGTTATATTTATATCAGGCTTTATCACTGTTGACCATTTTCATAGAAAGGGTTCTTAGTTAAAAACAAGTATAAACTCGAAATCAATCGTTTTATTCGAAGTATAACAAGTAACAATTAACGTGTTTTTCTACACACTTTTCCCCATTACCACTTATAACAACTTTATAATTGTGAACTGACAAATTGGGTGTTTTGGTAATAAATAAAGTCAGAAAAGCTTTTTGTAGTTTTTCAAATTATTTAAAAAAAAATTGTTTAATGTAGTTGTCCAAATTGCAAATGAAAATCTACTGGATACACGTTTGAAGAATAAATTGGGTGAACTTTGGATTTCAGCTCGTTTAATTTATTCTCTCCCCTGTCTCCGTTGAAACAGTCTGGCATCGTGCAGAAGTGTAGTACTCTTCCGAATTACCAATACAACTTGGTTTTTTTTCTAAGTTTTTGATGTACTTGATCAATTTTAATGCAGTATTTGATAGATAGGGTCTCTCTAAACTAAAAAGAAAAGTGAGTCTCCAGCCATGAACTTCCATACGGTCACTGATAGGTTTTTGAATTTTGGGTTGCTTTTGGCATTTTTCCTGACCTTTCATTGACATTTAGCCGCCAATTGTTGTACATGCAATTAATACTTTCAAGAAAAGGCTGTCTTTTGCCTATTAATCAATAAAAATGCATGCCTGTGCTTCACCTGCTGTTACTCAGAGCACATATAGTACCCATAAATTGAACTTTTTGACTTTAAAACGATCTTTAAATTTTATTCTGCTATTTTTTTTTTATGGCAGGCTGTCATCGATAATCATATTATCAGCACAATGTATATAAATAATTATGGATAATAACTTACAACTTATATTTATTACTCGATATTCACTTATTTACACAATCAAATATATACATATACATATACATACACTATAGAGCTAACAATTATATATATATTTACAATATTTTCAGATATGGAAACAACACTGTTTCCTTTAAAAATTAAAACATGAGACACTATAAAATTCCCAAGGAGCGTCTTTTTGTTGGGTGCCAAAACAACTCGCTCCCTGTAAAAGGCCTAGGAGTGGTTAAAGTTAACTGAGCAATCAAATCTTTCTCTACAAATGAGACACTGCATGGGGTTGGCATGTCTGTGGGCCAATTGAGTATGGCCTATCCTCAAATGGCTGAGCACAATCTGTTCATTGCGTTTTTGACCATCAATGGACAAACAAGAGCTTCTCAGACAATCTAGCCCATTCATGCTACTGTTCTTTACTGTTAGTAGTGTCGAGCTAGATTATGGTGGATTCTGTTTGCACATTTATGTTTGTACATTCATTGATCTTCAGCCCATGTAACAGTATTCATACAACTGTCTTTCCAAGGTGAATGTTCTTTAAGCGTCTTTAAACTGTGGGTGCACTTGTATTTAGTTGTGATCAATCCATTAACATTTTGATCCGGATTTTCTTTCATAGTAAGCCTAAAGTTTTGTCATAAATTGATGATGCAGGTCTTCCTCAGTGTTGATTTTTAAATTTGTTATTTTCAGTCCAAAACTTCACAAACCAATAGCAAATGGTTTGTTAACACTCCCCCAAAGCCATACTGATGTTTCTTGCAAACTTGGCTGCCTAATGACCGAGTTTAAACACTTAAAATAATTTAGCACAAAAATTGTTATATTTGAAGGTATATTAAAAAGAGTGTGTAAAGGATTAGCGAGCATATCAATATAAGCTGAAAATTGAGGATTAATAGCAGCTTATAAATTGTAAATATGCCAGTAGTAAACAACAGGAAGCCGCAGTAGGGCCAGCCCAATAATATTCACAACAGCCTGAATATAATAAATATAATATAAATTGAGATAGCGTTAACTATTTTTTTAATATGTAGATGTTTTGCCTGTTATTTTTTTATTTGCTTCTTTCAGCATGTGCCATATTTTGTTGGTCAGGGAATGAGTTGGGTGAGCTGACAGATTCTTTCCATTTGTGCCAATTTTTATTGTACAGAGGTTACCACCTGTAGGTACTTTCAAAAGAAGGATATGGTTAAAAACAAAGCATCCTTAAATTTAGTATTATGAAGGTAAAAGAAAAAACTCCACCATTTGATTGTTTAATTGAGAAAAATAAATCACATTTTGAGAAAACCACATCTCAACTAGCAACATACTAAATTAAGAGAAAAAAGGAACTGGGCAGTTTATACAGTAATTAATAAGCAATACTGGTCAATCTATTAATGAACTGCCATTCTATTATAATCAGCTAAAAATCTCCAAACGTTTTCATAAACAAGAAATGTTATCACTGTTGCCGGTACGACCCTTGTCATATTTGGAGTCAGGCCTTTGTAAAATCCTCGATACCCCTCAAATCTGCAAACAGTTAAAACAATTTATGTTTTTTTTTTAATTCTTTATAAATGACAAAAAGAATGAAGTGAAAATGTTCATAAAGCCCAATTGTAAAAAAAATTAAATAAATAAAAAAATTAACACTGCTTTCTCTAAAAACTAAAATTAATTGATAAAAAGTAGGCAGTTTTAAAAATTTTATTGCATGCATATCTAACATTTGGAACAACCAGTTTAGATAGGATTTGCTCAAACTGACTCAAATACCTGTGTTTTGTCTTTTCATAATTGAGGGGTGATAGCGGAGTCGTCGGGTCACAGATGCCAGCGACATTCTCAGTACCTCTAACAACATTGCCACATATCACACCCCAAAACTGCCCAAAGTACTTAACTAAATAAATTCAATGTACCATCGACTCGATTACGCTCCTCTGGGTATGGACCGCCGGATGCGATTATTGTATTATTAATTGTGTCAGGTCTATGGCCGCATTCGATTATTAATCGGATGAAATATTAATATCAGCTTAGAATGTTTAAAATTTCTCCACACATTTTCAACCACATCCACAAAGCTCACCTTTGTATTCTTAAAGAAGACTCCCTCGACTTGTAACCTCTTGCCACGGGCTGCTTTGTAACGAGTCCTAAAATGAAATATTATTCTCTACTGTTATGAGATAATTATTATAATAAAATTTAACTACAATGCCAAATTTCTGTTGTAAAATATTTGACTTACCAGAACTGTATTTTTTTAATTTAATATCTTCTAACTTTTCTGAAAAATGATGATAAACCGCTTTTTTTTCTGAATTTAATTTTTTTTTTTTTTAATATTCCAATATTTGAAAGAAAAACAGCTGTTCTCACTCCTTTACAACCAGTACAGAAGAGACAAGCATCCTTCTGTACTTATATTTTAGAATTTAGAAAACAGCAATAAATAAATTGACACTGAAATATTATTAATATACAATTTAACATCCATTAACATTTTGAGCTGCAAATTGCTGAAATTATTCATTAAAAAAAATTTTTTAATCACTTATTGTTAATCGTACAACTGAAAATTTGATTTTGCTCGATATCAAATCATATTAAATTTCACTAATATTTTAAAATATACTCAAAGTGGCCTGCTCTTAAATACATTTGTTTATCATAGCATTTAAAACAAACAACCAGCAGACCGTGGTTGCCTGGTGGTCTATTGCCTTGCTAGCGGTTCTGGGTTTGAATCCCAGCATAGCCCTTGGAATTTTATTTGCGATTAATTTGGAAAAAGTACTGTAAAGTGGACTGACCCCAAGTTCATGATATCCAACAGGTTGTTGGATGTTAAGCACTACTAATAAGTAAAAGTTAAGAAACTACTTTCATTGATTGAACCACAGTGGTTAAGGAGTCAGACTCTCGGCTAGATCCCGCTGTCATGGGTTCGATTCCCACCGTCGCCTCTGAACTTTTTTTTCTGTTGTATAAGAGGAGCAGTGGTCACAATGAGGATCTCACTGAATTCAGTCCCGACTCCCTTCAAAAATGAGTTTCTTCAATGAAAAAACCCCGGTATACCAGCGGAGCCAGGTAGCTGGAAAGCTGCAGTGCACAGGGGGAACTCCTTGAGCTCCTGGTATCCACAATAAAAAAATAAAAAACATTCAACTAAGCATTGGATGTTGCAGATGAGGGGTCAAACATTCACTTAAAAAGCTGTGGGCTCTGCTCAGATTATAATGCAGAAACGCGAGGAAGGCAAAAACTCGGCCACTGTGGACCCTTCAGCCCTACCATATAAACAGGAATATCTTTACTTTCCAAACAACATACCTAAAAATCTTTTTGGTTTTAAGCAAGTATATAATGGCCTTTCTTAGCAAACCAGTTCCTTTAGTGTAGAATTTCACTGGGTGATCCAGCTTGGATCCATCTTAATTAAAATAAATTTGGTTATATTTTGTATTTCCATAGGATTATGATCATTCTTTTCCTGTAAAGTTTTATTTAATTTATTTGTCAATATTTTCTGTTTGTAAACACTCACTATATTTTACAACACCTAATAAAAAAAGTTTTCATCGATAAATAGTAATGCAATACTAATAAAACAAACCAGTTTCAGAGCAATAAAAACTTACCTTTACACTAAATAATAAAACAATAAAACACTTGTGGAGAACTTTTAAACCTTTGCAAAAAAAATATACAATTGGCAAATCACAAATATTAATCGAATACGGCCGGACGTTTTCGATAAGAATACGGCGTATGTGAAAATAAAACGTGGTTGAATAAAGTATGAACAAAAGGTACAATTATTTATTTTTAAATAGTACACACACCGCTTGTGAAAATACAATCAAAATAGAGAAGGAAAAAAAATTAAAAAAGAGAAATTAAAAGAATATGGAAACCCTGCCAGCAGGAGTCATTTTCTTCCAAAACATTTGTTTTCACAATTCAAAGGAAAGAAAGGTTAAAATGAAACCAACTGGTCGCCATCGACCAAGCTGGAACAAATTACTTTAAAAAATCTTTTATCACAGAGGGCTAACAAATAATCAAATAATAATTTAAAAATCACGTTCCTCGTAACTATTATACTTAAAATAAAAAATAAAAAAAACCACCTTTCTCTCCTATAACTTTTACAAAAAATACATGATTTATTAAACACAGTTTTAAAGTTGTTTATATATTTATTTGAGAAGGTTTTATAAAGGGAAACTGGCTATTGAATGTAGGAACTAATGACAATTTTTCTGTTTTATTCATCCCAGAATCATGACAATAAAATTCCAAGCTTCGACTTATTTCAACTTTCTATTTTATAAAAAACTGCTTTATCAGCATTTACATCAGGGATAACAAAAAAAATTGTTTCCACCACCCAAATAACAGACTATTAAAATTATTAAAGGCATAAATTAAATATTTGTGTAATATATAAATCTTCGAAAAGGCTTTATATTATTTTATTTTTATCATCTAACATAAAACATAAGCCTCGAGTTGATTAAATCCGTATCAACCCGCTATTATAACGCTTCGCCTTAGAATTTCATTGTCATGTATAAAATGAAAAAGGAGTTAAGTTAAAAGATATATTTTTTTTAACACTAGCTCTACCTTAAACTAATTCTGTTTCTACTTATGGGCCAATTCATTTGAGACTTACACAGAAAGTTGATACTTAACAATATCAATGGGAACAAAAAGATAATTCCATATAGTTTATTTTGTCTCAAAAATATTTCTATGAGAATATATATCATCAAATTTTCTATTTCTAAATGAATTTAAGAAGTCACTTAGAATATAATAATGAAAAATTCTTAAATTATAATGTTGGATCACATTTCTTTTTTATTTTATTTATTTATTTTTTTATTTTAATAATCATACTATAAATATATCTATAATGTCATTTAATTTGTTAACTAAATTCAATAAAACAAAATTTTAAGTGTTCATTGAAGAATTTGATCACCTAAAGTATATTACAATTAACAAACTTTGGATTTTTCTCTTTTAAATTAACCATATAAGATTCACGAAAAATCTAACTTAAAAAAAAAAAAAAACAGGGATAAGTCAAATCATTAAAACTGATTTGTAATAAAAATGAAGTAAAATGATTTTTGAAGGTGGTAAATACTTTATTATCAGTGTTTTTATCTATAATTAAACACGTGCCTAAGCAAAAGTCGGATTAACTACCATCAGTGAACTTTTCATATATGATTAATACTAGACATATATTGGGCATGACATGCAGTAAATAAGGTAATAGCCCCTTGTAAAACCCTCTAATCCCTTCATACCTCCATGTCTGTTGTATGCAGTCCACAGCGCCTTTGTACGTGTGGTACTGATCTTGTAGACGTGCCCTGATTACCTGGTACGGGTACGTGATGGATGCGGCGAGCAGTTTGCTTGTGGCAGCAAACGCAATGTACTCCAGAGTGCTCTGTAATGTCGATACATAGGTAACGTTTATTCATTTTTTTTTTTTTTAATTAGTTGTATAACTTACCAATTTAGCATCAATCGGTGAATTTTTATACTGGTTGTAAAAGTTTTTCATCTCTTCATAAGTCATGAATTGAATAGCACCATGAGAAACACCAAACATGCCAGGAAGGAAACCCTGAAATTTTCAACACGTCATGAAACAAAATATGACACGTAAGACTTAAAGTGCTTCATTTGAATTAGTCAAAAAAGTTCTCTCGAAAAAAAAAATGTTAATTTTATTGAAACATTATTGAACTTATTGACATCAAAAACAAAACAAAAATAAATAATAAAATAAAAAAACGAAAAATCATCGAATCTCTCTTTACCCTGTACAGTCCTCTGACACCTTCTAGCCTATATATTGTAGTTAGAGCGTCAACCATTCCGGCGTAGCACCTGCCTGATTTTGGCTGTGCATCGTTATATTGCAAACATAACCTGCCAAGAATATTAAACCCCGTCTTAGGGGCATAAAGGGGAAATAACAATACAAAGAAAACAAGCTTTTTGGGCAATCTTCATTTTCGAATTAACGTCTATTTAATCTTAATTAAGTTTAGTTTAAATAAGAAAACTATTTGAATGCTTGGGATTCATTTAACTTTCATATAACATAGTGAAAGAAAGAAATTTCATGTAATGAGAGCATATTGTGTTCTTTCAAAATCAAAAGCAAACAGGAATTTTTTTTCCCAAATAAAAACATTGCTGCACTAAGTACAATGTAGCAAAAAAGTGTTAATTTAGCAAAGATAAAAAATTCATGCTTCTATAAATTTATCTAAATTTAAAAGAGAAAGAACAACATACACTACATTAAAAGAATTTTGGAATTTAAATACCCAAGCAATCATTTGAAAAAAGAGTTAAAGAAAAGAAAAAAAGAAAAGAAAGAAAAATTACTTTTGCCCAAATTATTTACTTACATCACCAGATACTTGTCTGTATTTACATAACCGGCATTGTTTGATATAGGCTTACCTAGTTTTGACCACCCAAACGGGGTTGGTCATGACAAGTGTGAGGATCCCTGCCTGAGCGGCTAGAAGCATGTGCATCGAGGGGCCCAAGGGCGTTTTCGAGTTCCCTCCTTGAACCCATGTTTTAATAGAGTTGTAACTGGCGACAAGATAACAATTTTAATATTGCAATTTAAAATAGACACAAACATTAAAAAAAAATTGTCTTACAAAAGGAAATAGAAACCCCAGGCACTGCCAGAACCCCAAACATTCGGCGTGACACCTTTATATAAACCTCGGACGCCTTCCTGTTTGAATATTGTCGTTATCGCTCCTTTTAACCCATTGTATTGCGGCACAGCCGATCTGCCATCATTCACTTAAAAGAAAAATTTAAACACTTATTAAATTTGGGCAATTCAAGAAGGTATTTTTGATTAACCCTACACAACACATAAATAAGCTTAACTAGATATGAATAGCAGTTACAAGGCTACTTCTCAAAGATTCGACGCAAAACAAGGGAATAGTAGATTTCCCCTTTACCTGCCTCTCATCGTAAGTGAAAAAAAAATAATAAAACTATTTATTTTAATTAAATTGATTTAAAATATTACTACAAGAGATAATTTATTCATTTGAAAAGAAGTAAATAAAAAATTTTATCTGAAAAAGATTTGAACCAATGACCAAACGATGTGCTGATTGTGCAAAGCAGGTGAAACCTCAACACATTTATTATCGGATGGCATAGCTTCTTAACTCTTGCAACAGAAGGAAATAAAATTCATCAAAATAAATTCATAAAATAAAATTAGCAGATGAACCATTAGAAGAAGCATAAGCAGTAGTTAACTGAACAGTTATAGTTTTTGAGTAAAAATTCCATAAGGAATTAGAAATGACTTAAAAAAAAAAATTCAAAAGAAATTAGAATTGGGATGACCAAGGATGATGAACTCATGCTTTTTCAGGAATAATGTACATGTTCTATCTGTAATATATGTTGTACCATTATACCTCTGTTGGTTCATTTTATCAAAATGAATTTAATTGAAATCATTGAAGAAGACAATGGGACTAGAAATGGCAATGGTCATTAATGCTCATTTAGAAAAATCAATAGTACCACGGAAATCCAGTTTCTTATGAGCGAGAGTTGGTTATTTTAAAGGCAAAAAATCGTGCAATTCTAATGTAATTTATCTTTTAAGAAGTTTCGAACTTTTAGAATTTAACTGCTTGTTTATCATCAATAAACTTTGAACAAAACGTCATCACATTCTGTTGAACAGCGTGAAAAGTATAAAAAAGTTAAAGAAATGGAAAACTTCAACAAGAACAAAGAATCCAGAAGAAACATCACCAAGGAGCAAAAAACTCATACAATTCTATTGTATTTTCTCTTTTTAGAAGTTGATTGTTACATTGAAAGGAAATTTTATCTAAGGTTATGCCAGTAGAAGTGATAAGTTCCAAATCAAAATTTAGGTAAAAGATTTAATTAGTTTTTTTTTCTTGATAACCCAAATATTTTCCTTTCAAATTGAAGTTCATAAATTTGTGTCTTATTGCGTTCAGTGCACTGATAAAAGATTGCAAACTGCTGACAAAACACCTTACAACCAGACGATTAAAATGGTTCCCAAAAATGACAAACTTTCAGCAGTTTATCGGCCGAAAATTTCCTGAAGTCCAAAGTGGACAAATGGATAAGGAAGGTCGGTGAAATTTACTTAGGCTGTTTGTGTAATGGGGCCAAATTTAAATCCCATAGTCCTAGAAGTTTAAATGTCTTTGAAAACTACTATTTTTTCTACATTTTATAGTTATTTGAATATTTTTGTATTGTGTAAAAACTGTGACAAAATGGAATTGCAAATGTCTGATTGAAACATGCAGCTACAATCGTAGGTGTACGACAAACATCATACAAATACACAAGAAAAAAATTCCCAAATTGTACACAACAAACAATTGTACAAACACTGAAGAACTAAAATGATTCTGAAAGTCCAAACCAGTACAAATAAGCTGACCAAGATGGTCATACTCGATCAAATGACATTCGTTCTATTTATCTTCTGGCCCTGTAGAGCTTGATTTAGTTCTGTAGAAAAATCAATAAAATCCAGGTAACATGTAAATCCAGTTCTTCTTGTATGAGCTTCAGTTGGTTTCCAAGGTCGGTAGAACAAAAGAACTAAAAATATTCAATCCGTTGACTGTATTTGGAATGAGCCCAATAAAAGTGTGAAAAGGAATATTGTTAAAATATTAACTGTAAAAAATTGGATTCTTTTTGCTTTGCCAAGTAGAATGAAGTAGTGAAGTATAATTGCCAATAAATGTAATGAAGAACAATTCATTTAACCACAAACGTTTTTATCTCCCAATTTAGATCTAATTTTGAGAAATATTAATATGTTTATCCTGGCCCATGTATCAGAATTAAATATTATAAATCTTAACAAAGCGGACCCAAGAGTTTCTATTTTTTCCTGTATCTATTTATCATCTAAAAATTATTATCAAGGATGACAAAAGTATAACAAATTCCAGACCAGAACATGAACTAGTTCCAGACATGTCCTCTGTTGGTGCGAAGGCTTACGTAGGTCGAGTTTTTTAATTCTGGGAGAGGAAAAACCAGGGCCTGAAGGATACATACGGGAGGCCCTTGAAAAAGCTTTGGGGTCAGGTAAAAAGCTTAGCAAGGATCTGTACATGAAAAAAAAAATGGAGATTCACAATAGACCAATACAGGTGGCCCAGTGTACAGGTCGTAAAGAGACCAGCTCAAGAAATTTAATGGCATTAAATAATAAAATTTATATTGACTAAATGGACCCAAGAAAAATTGGTGAATGGCAAGGCAATTTTTAAAACAGATTGCTTTTGATTTAATCAAATGAAGTAAAATTTCAAATAAATGGATTGATGTGCCAAAGAAATATATCTTTCAATTAGTTTTAAAAAAATTCTTTGTTTTGTGAAATAAAATTATACTGGGCAAAGGATGAAGACAGATCTAATACAAAGCTGATCAAAGAGTTTTACTGTTATTTACATAAAAATTTTCACTGAAGTTAATTCTATATGGTGAATTAATCAAAGTTGAACATATTTGGAATGACTGTAGTTACCATTAAAGAATAGAAAAAAAATTAATGGCAGAGTGATCATTCAATATTTTATTTACTGTGTGAGGATTGTTGTAACGGTGTGGTAAAATTATTCAGAAATAAGAACAGAACAAAATCTCGGCTCCTTTTTGGAAATGAATCACCCCCGTAACAGGACACAACAATCCTCCCAACTGGTCCTATATTCAAAAATAATAATAAAAAAACATAATAAATAGTTTAAGAGAGGAATTTCATATTGTATCTGTCTATAGTTTTCCTCTACACCAGGGAAGTTCAATTAATGTTGGCCACAGTTGTAATTGACCCAATTGAGTAGGGTCAATTAAATACATTTTAACATATTTTGAATGGAAGTTAAATTTTCAAGAGTAGAAAGACTAAAAAGGAAGACAGGTTCAATGACCACTATTTCACTTACCCTATAGCAAAATCAATAATGTAGTGGGAATCTAGACCAATTGCAAGTTCGATGGAATGTTGGAATATTAAAGAAAAATAACTAAATTTAACTAAATTCCACTGACTGTCATTCTATTTAAACTTGAAATAATATTTAATTGTAAAACTTAGATCCCTTTTAGGTTTTGATTAAGCAATTTCCAACAAGGGGACTGAATAACGAAAAAAAAAACAACTAGAAAATCTCAACTTATTCCCACTTGACTATGATAATACTCTAAATCAAAGCAAAGCTGTTCAAAAAATTTTACTGTTGTGTTTATTCCTTTTTCTCATTATTAAACCATTATTTTTCCATCATACTTGATCGACTTGTGACTATTTTGGTACAGTGTTGTGTAAAAATTATTCTGTAGCATTTTGATAGAATAAAACAGCGAAAATGGGCCAGGATGATGTCAGGTCCCAGACCATCTTCCGTGCAGGTTCTGTTGGCCACTGTTGTAACTGTCACGATTGGCTCAACACGGTTAAGTAACTAAAAATATGTTACGTATTTGGAAAAAGGGGGTTTAATGCTAAATGACCACTATTTTACTTACTCAACTAAAATGTGGTAACAGGGAAATCTAGTTTTATATATTGATTGTTGATTTCATAATCCATAGAAGAACAAAATAACTTCCAATTCAATGAAATTCATATTGATCTGTACTTGAAAGGGATCCACGAAAAATTGGCGAAAGGCAGGACAATTTTTAAAACATTAAATCGAAAAATTGCATTTATATTTTTATCAAGATAAGTGAAGTATAAGTTTGACTAATTGGATTGAAGAACAAAAGAAATATAAGTTCATAGCTGCATATTTGGAATAACTGTTAATGTCTAAATATAAGAGAAGAGAAAAAGGGAGAAATTTAGTGGCTCAATTGCCAACCAATTTTTTATCTACTGACCCTATAAAAAAATAAATAAATAAAATAATGTGGTACAAAGAAAATCCCATCTTCTAATCTTCATATATGGAGAATCTTCTGTTGATTTCAAGGCCAACAGAAGATCAAAAGGACTAAATATCCATTCCAATTCAATGAAATTCACATTGATCTGTATGTAAAAGGGAATAGGTGAAAAGCAAGAAAAATTTTAAAAACAAAGTATAATTTTGACCAAATGGATTGAAGAGCAAAAGAAATACAAATTTATAGCAAAACATTTGGAATGGCTGTTAGTGTCTGAATATAAGAGAAGAGAAAAAATGAGAAATTTAGCGGCTCAATAGCCATCCAACTTTTTATTTACTGGCTCTATAAAAAAATTAATAAATAAATAAAATAATACAGTGTAAAGAAAATCCAATCTTCTAGTCTTCATTTATTGGAGCTTCTGTTGATTTCAAGGTCAATAATAAAACTAAATATTCATCCCAATGCAATAAAATTCACATAGATCTCTATGTAAAAACGAAACCAAGAAAACTTGTTGAAAGGTACAAACATTTAAAATTAATAACCTAAAAATTTAATTTTTTTGTATTGTCAGATGAAGGAAAGATTACTGATCAGATTGTATTCTTCTTCGACCTGTCCACTTGTAAAGTATAATTTTGACAAAATGGATTGAAGAACAAAAGAAATACTAATTCATAGCAGAATATTTGGAGAAGAAAAAAAGGAGAAATCTAATGGCTCAATAGCCATCCAATCTTTTATCTACTTATCCTATAAAAAATAAATAAAATAAAATAATAAAGTAACGAAAATCTAACCTTTTTAGTTTTCATACAGGGGTAACTTCCGTTGATTTCATGGCCGATAGAAGAACAAAATACCTAAATATACTATCGGATTCAATGAAATTCAGATTGATCCGTATATGAAAGTGATCCAAGAAAAATTGGTGAAAGGCAAGACAATTTTTAAAACATTAAATCAAAAAATTAGGGGGACCGCGGTAGCCGAGTGGTTAGCATGAGAGACTCGCACGCCGCGGTCGTGGGTTCGATTCCCACCGTCGCCCCTGGCCCTTTTTTCCCGATAACCCCCAATTCGAACACACAAGAATTCGTACTATGGCAAAATGCAAGATCATAAGGCCAATAAATAAAAATAAAAAATAAAAAAATTGCATTTATATTAATTTTTATCAAATGCAGTGAAGTATAATTTTGACTAAATGGATTGAAGAACCTCCTGAAAATCTGTACTTGAAAGGGATCCACAAAAAATTGGTGAAAGGCAGGACAATTTTTCAAACATTAAATCAAAAAATTGCATTTATATTTTTATCAAGTGAAGTGTAATTTTGACTAATTGGATTGAAGAAGAAAAGAAATACTAGTTGATAGCTGCTTATTTGGAATGGCTGTTAGTTTCTAAATATAAGAGAAGCGAAAAAGAAGAAATCTAATGGCTCAATAGCCATCCAATCTTTCATGTACAGACCCGATAAAAAATAAATAAAATAATGTGTACAAAGAAAAACCAATCTTCATAGTCTTAATATAGGAGGAGCTTTTGTTGATTTCTTGGCCAATACAAGAACAAAAGAAGTAAATATACATTCCCATTCAATGAAATACACATTGATCTGTATTTGAAAGTGATCCAAGAAAAATTGGTGAGGCAGGACAATTTTTAAAACATTAAATAGAAAAATTACATTTATATTTTAGTCATGCGAAGTGAAGTATAATGTTGACTAAAATGATTGAAGAACAAAAGAAATATAAATTCAACTAAATTCACATTGATCTGTATTTGAAAGTGAACCAAGAAAAATTGGTGAAAGGCGAAGCGAAGTATAATTTTGACTAAAATGATTGAAAAACAAAAGAAATATAAATTCAACTAAATTCACATTGATATGTATTTGAAAGTGATCCAAGAAAAATTGGTGAAAGGCAGGACAATTTTTAAAACATTAAATCAAAAAATTACATTCATATTTTTATCATGCGAAGCGAAGTAAAATTTTGACTAAAATGATTGAAGAACAAAAGAAATATAAATTCAACTAAATTCACATTGATCTGTGTTTGAAAGTGAACCAAGAAAAATTGGTGAAAGGCGACGCGAAATATAATTTTGACTAAAATGATTGAAGAACAAAAGAAATATAAATTCAACTAAATTCACATTGATCTGTATTTGAAAGTGAACCAAGAAAAATTGGCAATAGACAAGACAGTTTTATAACATTAAATGGAAAAATTAGATTTAAATTTTCATCCAATGTTTAAAGAACAAAAGAAATATAAATTCATAGAGGCATATTTGGAATGATTGTCAGTTTCTAAATATAAGAGAATAGAAGAGGGAGAAATTTAGTGTCTCAACAGCCATCCAATTTTGTATCTACTGAACCTATAAAAACATAAAATAATAAAATAATGTGGTGGCAAAGAAAATCCAAACTTCTAGTCTTCACATAAGAAGTTCTTCTGTTGATTTCAAGGTCAATAATAAAATTAAATATTCTTTCCAATGCTATAAAAGTCACATAGATCTGTATGTAAAAACCGAGCCAAGAAAAATTGTTGAAAAGCAAAAAATGTAAAATTATTAACCTAAAAATTTTATTTTTTTATTTTTTTAGGATTGTCAGATGAAGAAAAGTTTAATGATTTTTGTTTGGGTATTGTTTTCTTCTTCGACCTGTCCACTTGTACGGTAATCGTTGGAACGTTGAACCCGAGAGAATTAAAGATCAATAAATCCGCAAATTACATAATCATTAAAGAAAAGGGTATCGAAGAAATGGAGAAATGTAACGATCGACTATCGGAGAAAGCGACCACCCATGCGCGACACGTTCTCCACATGCTTCTCGGTGAGAGAATTTGAAGTTTTGATTTACCTGCAAATCTGATTTTGATGAGGTCCAACGGGTGGAGAATGAGGGTCGACGTGACACCCCCGGTGACGCCAGCGACTAGGTGCTCGTACCTGACGTGCTGGAAGACACTCTTGAAGGTGGCACTCGGGGTCGTTATCGTTTTCACGGATGTCATGTCCACTTCTTTAGTCTGACAGTCGCTCCGGCCTTCATCGGCGTACGGTATCGTCGTGCTGGAGTGGACTGGCCTCAACGATCCGTCTCGAAAGGCATAGCCCTGAAAGAAAAACTCGCCCTCTCAGCGGTGCTTCTCGTCAACCTTCCTTTTTAATACTTTTTCAATTTGAAATAAAAGCCGCCTCTGGTTCAAGAGCCGTCGGATTTGTCAAAGCAACGCGACCACGATTGATCCTGTCGAGTGTGGAAACCGTCTGCCTTCGGGACGACGTGCACGATGAGATCGCTCTTGAAGATTGACTCTACTCACTTGAGTCCAAGTCTTACGCCGTTACAGACGGGGAGGAGCAGGCGCTTCACTCCTCTTTTGTCCGCCTTTCCCGCTCTTTCCAAACTTTCAAATTCAAATCTATACGTAAAAATGGATGAGACCTTTGTAAGAAAAGTAGTACCAAGTTACAAGAAGGGGCCGTAATATGGTACACTAATGGATCAAAGATGGAACAGGGAATAAGTCCCCGAGACAAGTAAACTTATTTTTTGTCCAGTTCTCATGAAGTTTTGAAGTTGCCCTAACAGTAAGTTTTTTGAGAGGTGGAGATGCGAGATCTAAAATACTAAAAAAAAGTTTTGGATTGTGAAATATTTTAAAATAATATCCAATGCTCTCTTTTATCACCTTTTAGCTAATAATTGTTTAACATGGAATGTGCATAACTGGTTAACACCTTCCATTAATAAAAACTAAATAACAGACTTCTGACTATTTCAATTCAGACTGACTCATATCCAGTGCAAACTTATCTAAGGCAATTAGTCTATTTTGCAAACAACACAAGATGAAACTTCTTAAGACAAATGTTTGCACTGACAATGTCTTAATAATGCAATATTTATGTACAAAATATGGCTTTTGAGAGTGCCAACTTCTGAGATACAAGGAAATAAAGAAGGAACCACCACAAAATTCTGGAGAGAATTAAAATAAATAAGAAGGCTGCAATGGTATCTGACAAAATGAGAGAAAACCTCAACTGTGACAGACTTTTCCCAAGTGGTCATAGATAATAGAAGCCTTTGGAAGAAATATAGTACCAAGTAATTAAGGTTTTTAGTTGAGATAAAAAAGTCAACGGCACGAGCGGGATTCAAACCCATGATCTTCGGCTAGATACGCCACTGCTCTACCACTTGAGCTATCATGACCTTGATCCATCCACGATAGCTCAAGTGGTAGAGGAGTGGCGTACCTAGCCGAAGATTATGGGTTTGAATCCCGCTCGTGCCATTGACTTTTTTATCTCAACTAAAAACCTTAATTAATTGTAATATATTAATTGGCCAAGAGGACCACGAAATTAGTGAATTTAATATAGTACCATGTTTCAGGAAGGGGCCCTAATATGATACACAAATGGATTGAAGATGGAACAGGTACTAGGACTAATCCCAACAATTTTCCAAACTGACAGTAATGTAATATAACTCTGTGCAGGAGTTAATAAAGAAAAATATTAAAGGTGCACAGAGTTACACACTCTCAGTGGGTACCTTGACCAACTGGTCTAAAAAAGGGACAGTCCTCTCCCATGGTACCAGAACCTCAACTAGGTGCACCAGATGTGTTCTTAAGTTGGAATTGGAAAAATGTTTAAAAAAAGGAAAAGTAACTTTTTTTAAGGTGATTTTTTAAAGTGACCAGTTATTTAATAATTGTTGGATTCGTGAGGAGCAGTCAAGAATGAGGTAGTTTAGAAAAACACCTTTTTCATTTTTTTATAATGTTTTGACCTTTATTCAGATCATCTTCAGGGCACAAAATGTGGTGTTATTCCTGAGGTGCCATATTGGTGTTGTATGAAATTGTTGTGCTAACAATTTGCTGCTCAACAATTTCACACAATATAACACCACACTTTATGACCCGAATAAAGTTCGAGTCATCGTTAAAAAATGAAAAAGGCATTTTTTTTAAATATCTCATTTTTGACCGTTCCTCATGAACCCAATAATTAATCATAGCATTGTTAGAAGATGGAAGAAATCAAGCACGTGTGGCCAGGGTGCTTAACATTTCTAGAGCAATTGTCCAAGGGTCTTCCATCACTACAAAGATACAGGAGATTACTCAAGAAGGCATGGATCAGGTCACCATGGTGTCACATCGCAGCAAGATTATTGTTTTATTTTTTCAAATGTACTCCTTAATAATGACTTCAGAGCTTCTAACAAGGGACAGAACAGCTTGGATAAATTTTGAAAGAAATCATATCAATTGATCTGAGCAAGATTGGACTAAAATCGAGTTTTTGGATGAGTCAAGGTTTTGTTTGAGGAAAGCTAACAACTTAGCTAAACTTAAATCTATTAATGCAGAGGGTCAGATTAGTCACCAACAAAAGATATATAACTGGCAGTGATTTGAAATAGGTGGAATGATAGGGAAGTAAAAGCAAAAGATATATAATTGATGTAAACGGAAAATAAAAGAGTACCTGAGATGGTCCCCTGTGGAGATCCAGAATTAATAAAACCAATGCCAGAATTAAAATTGACAAGTTGTGAGCGATTTCTTTTTTTAAGTTTCAGTAAAAAGATACTGTGTAATTCTATATTAGGGGATTTATAAACAATTTGCTTTTCAAAATTATACATGTTATCTATTTGTAACTGTGTTTTTTATCCGTTAATAATAAATAAATAAATTTCAGACAAAGTGGCAAATACAAGAATACATTTTCATGGATTGGCACCTAAACTGATCCACACATGACATACTTTGAATGTGGAAAAAATTATTCAAGCAATTTACTTTTAAAAATAGTTTTATTTTTGAATATTTCCAATAATAAATTATTTTATTAAGTACGAGAGGAGGCGATTTATTAATAAATTTCGTGATTTTTTTTTTTTTTTACTATTTGCATCCTTGTGTTACTTTCAAACTAGACAGACCGTTATTGAACATGGCTCCTCTGCCGTTTGTAAGGCGTTAGAATACTTTTTGATCAAGCACAGCTGATCAGATGATGCAATCTGTTGCAAATATTGTAAAATTGTATTAACAAAAATATAATTTAATTAATTAAGACAATGTCTTTTATATTAAGGTTATATATAGTTTAATTCGTTAAATAAGTTTTGAAGGATTTTAGAGAGATTTATCACCGACTTGATTTCGCCGTTGAGAAATCAAGGAAATTTTATTCTTGGGCAAAGTCTCGGGCTAGCTGATAAGTTGAAAGTTCTATATCGAAACTACCAGTCCCTGTCGGATTGAACTGAAGTTTTTCTCGTTTCCAACTATTTCTTTTGTAATGTCATCAGCCCAGCACTCCGCTGGAAAGCTTTTGAAAGGCATTTCCTCTCTGAGGTGGGCGTATTGTGCGATATTTCCTGTTTAGAGCGAGCCAATTTTTTTTAAATATATATTTTTTATTGCGTTTTATTCAGGGATCTGCGCTTTATGAGCCAACTGGGTGACTTGGGCTCCGGGGCCGGCAAAGGAGGCGGAGGAGGTGGTGCTATTCGCAGCGCAGGAGGATCTCTTGGTAAAAAAGAGGCTGCCCATGAGGAAGAGTATTTTTACAAACAGGTAACTATACTAGATAAATACAGGCAACTTACTAACTATATATAATTAAAGTTATACGACTAATTAACTTTAATAGTACATAAAAAAAATCATGCAAAATCTTGTGAAATATCAATAAAAATTTGAACACATCTGCTAAAGCAAAAGTATGCGTTGAATGAGCTTGTTCAGCTTTCCTACATGAGAAAAAGCTCTTCTACAGTCATGACAATTTTGAGTTGAATCTTCAAATGATAAAATGTTTGGTAGTTGAAAACTAAGATTTCAACTCACAAACTTGGGTTCACGATGCTCATAATCAGACTAAGCAGGTCATCTCAGCAACAGTCAAGAAGAAACAGCCACCCGTATCATCAACTTTGAATGCGAAGCACGGCTCAACGGAGACATAACCATACCAAAACAAAATTTTAAAAACAAAGGAATAAAATTGTAGCAGCAACAGACGATGACCTAATACTTCTGATGAGAAGGATTAAGTCGATTGCACTGATGACTGAACTAGGAAGGTACAATAAGCCTGAAGGCTGTAGTGCCTGTGGAGGGAGCACAAACTCCGCTTCCTAGTATCCATCATCATCATCATCAAGCAGGTAGTGTACAACGATATTACCATGCAGAATGGTTAGGGCGTAACTCATTTGGGTTGCTGATGGTGGGCTATTAGCACGAAATGTCCATTAAAATTTAAAAAATTTATCACAACACTTGGTTGTAATTTTTCTTTATACATGGAAATTATAAAACAGTGAAGACACAGCAATACAAAATAAACATCCAACTCCAGGAACCATTTTGGCCAAATTGGCCTCGGAACATCTGGTTTTAATTTTCCACCTACCACTTCAATTACAAAACCGTGGAAGATGCAACAAATTATACAAAATAAATAGAATTGGAAAAAAAAGCAGATATCTTTCTCCAGGAACCATTTTGACAAGAATTATTCTGAAGTCTATTTGATATTTTGAGTTTTTTACATTTTGAAATAATTTTACCAAAATATTTAATAGTTAAAACCACTGTGAGATTTTTCAACTAGGACTGTTCTTCCCCTACCAGATTTCTTGGTACAATCTACGTGGAAAACTACTCATAGAAAACTTGTATAGTTTGACTAACATATTTTTACTTGAAATCCGGGTGTTGGAGGTGAAAATTGGGAAGTGACCCATTTGATACTGTAACAAAACTTTAAGCCTGGAACATCTGGTATTAATTTTCTCTCTCAATTATAAAACCGTGGAAGATACAACAAATCATACAAAATAAATATAATTAGAAAAAGAAAAACATATTCCTCCAGGAACCATTTTGGCAAGAATTATTCTGAGGTTGTGTTATTTCAAAATTTTACCTTTTGAAATCACTCATAATATATGGTTAGACCAGTGTGATATTTTTCAACCAGGATGTTTTCCTTCCATCAGATTTCTTGGTAAAAGATCCCTGGAAAGCATGCATTTTGGATACCTTGTACTTCCAGACAATGAACATTTTCTGCTCAAAATTTGGGTATTGAGCAACAAGAATTGGGGAGTGATTCGTTTGGGCTGAGGATGCCAATGAGACTGAAACGCCCATTATAATTATTAAAAAAAAAATGTTTTCATTTTCCACTAGTCATCCAAATTCTGTACACTCAGTAAATTTTTTTATAATTTTCATAATTAATTTTTTTCCAATTTGTACACAAACAGGACTCTAACCCATGACCTTCAGCTTTGAGTCCCGCTCGTGGCACTGATTTTTCTTCTCACCGTCTTTGCATACAAATTGGAAATAATAATTAATAATGACCAGATAACTAATTAAATAATTAATTCAAATTTTGGCATATGTGCATATTACAGTAAGTGTTTAGGCCTGATAGACTATAATTGATCAATTGATGGGAAAGATACTGCTTCCTTTTAATTGCAATGTGCCTTTTTAGACATATCGAAACATTAACCCACATTTTGATAATTCTATTTGTCTATTTGTAAACTTTTTATACTGAAATGTAATTAGTGTATTTACCTAATGTCCTAATGAATACGTGTCTGTGCGACAACAATTTCTTTATTTATTTTGTATCTGCTTGAATTAGCATTTTTTTCGTCAGTGAATTTGTACAGTTATCTCACCAGTAAAATAAAGTCGCTTAATGTATCCATTTTACCCACATAGCAAATTAAAGTCATATGTGAATAACTGCAAGTGGTGGTATAATTGACAACCCCTAAATTTGTGTAATAAGTGTCACTGCGTAATGTGATTAGTAACAAAAAGTCAAGATGAAATGAAAGCACAATAAAAAAAAAAAAAATAAAAAAAAGTCATTACAAAAATTGAAGTTGTTCCAAAATTCTTAACTTTAAAATTGTAGTCCTGAAATATTATATTTTTTACTTATCCAGTTTTGCTTCGAGAGTGCAAAATTGTATTTATATTACGATTAAATTTAATTTTAATTTCATATACACATCTGATGTTAAATTAATTTAGAAAGAAGTAATGTTATTTTTTTATTGAAAATCCCAAATTCATGCTGTAAAATACACTCACCATATGTATGTAGACTTAATACGGCTGGTATTGGAAGGGTTGTTATATTTGAAAGCTTTTCCTCATTAGTAAACTGAATGGTAGATTGGAACCAGTCAGATCTTATCACTAGATTGGCTTGCTATGTTTCAAAAGTAAATACTTGTCACTTTGTACAGGCTTTAATCAGCAGCGAATATTTTGGTCCTTTCTACCTTTTAAAAACAGCGCATTTGTTAACATTTTTTTGTTCTTTGTGTTGCAGCAAAAACAGCAATTGGAAAAATTGAAAAATGCATTGGACAGTGAGATCACCTTCCATGAAGAACAAGTCAAAAGGCACCAGGAGGCCATCGACAGATGTAAAAACCAGATGGGAAACCTTGAGAAGAAATAGACTTTTTTTTTTGTTTTCTTAATTGATTTGTAGTGTTAATGCAATTAAGTCAGGTCATAAATGACTATTTTTGCTCTTTATTCATTCTTTTTGAAATTGTTAATTGCTAATGTAAAATATGATTGAATAAATACACTAGTAATACATAGGCAGTTTAATAACCTTTCTAATTGAAATGTGTGGTGATTAGTGACAGTTAGTCGATGATTATTTAGAAATCGTGAGATGCGGTCTGGTGTGATGTAGGTTTCAAACATTGTTTAAATTTAACAAAAACATGTAGGATGTGGAAAAAAGTGAATTTATACAATGAAGAAAAAATTTTTTATATTCACTCAAAGTATTTCTACTCACTGAAAGTGTTTGTTTTCTATTTTACGCTTTTCTGTTTCTGCATTGGCACCATAAAGAAAATGCTTTTTCTGAAACCTACATCACACCAGACCGCATCTCACGATTTCTGAATAATTATATTTACACTTGGCAACAACATACTTTTTAGAAAATTATCCAATAATATTCAATTTTGATAGCACTGGTGAATTTTTTTAAATTAAATTTATTTATTAAAACTGGTCTTATTAGACCAACCATTAATTTTACAATACTTGGTGAATTAAGAAAAAAATGAAATTGTAAATCCTAAAAACCAAATACAAAGAGTTGCGAAGGAAGGAAAATCATAATATTGTTGCTAAGGATCCATATTTGACAACATATTTGTCTTGTTTGTCATGACAATATGGCATTAGCCCGGTTGGCCTTTTCTTTATGATGGCTGGCACCATTTTGCTCTTACCAAAAATGCATCTCACCTGAATATATTTTCAATTTTTTTTCTCTGATTTTTAAAGAATCTTGGAACGGAAAATTTTTTTCATTTTGTCTTTGTATTTATGGACCTGTACTTTGGTTGTATTCTATTGTTTTAGCCGATAGCTAAAATATCCTTGTCAGTATGGATTGTCAGATGCGTTTCAACCATATTTAAGCGCTGGGTTTGTATGCATATCCAATGGTGAAATGGAAACAAACCAGAGGACTAAAACAGTTGAAAATAACCTAACCACAGAATCTGTAGCAATTTGGATGGAAACACCCTTTTTCTGCATATGTATTAGGATGGAATCTGCCAACATGATTAAGTACAGAACATCTCGCCAACTCGAACCAACACTACATTTCTCCATGTATAGAACAAAAGGAAAATTTCATAACTAGATTAATAAATTAACTACAAGACGCATTGGCAGGTTAATACTAGGCAGTACAGGATAAGACTACTTATATAGAGAACTAAACTTGTTTTGCAGGGATCCAGATTTCAAACAGTAAATGTTCATCCAGATTATATTCGGTTAACTACAATCTATGTAAAAAACAATATATATAAATATACAGATATACTTATGATAACTTATAATGATGCAAGTAGAACTATCATTTTCAATTATTGACTAGGTAAATGTTGGTCACTACCTGGTCTTGTGGTTTTATGGGTTTAATACTACCAAGTCAAAGTCGGGCACTTACAGGTCATTGTGTTAATAAAAATTTAATGTAGGGTCATTGAAAGGCTAAGAGTTATTAGTTGTTAAGAATGAATAAAATCAACTAAAACACCTAATTATTAAAATCAGTACTTCAATATTATTGTATTGAGTACCCAATTTTGAGGTGCATAGTTTTATTTTTTCTTCTTTGAGGTCACTACTCACTAGGACTGGTTTCCCCTTTTTATTTCCAAGCCTCAAAAATTGCATTACTGTCTTCATGACAGAGTCTGCATGTTTCTGTCCATTTTTCCAATTTTTTGGAGTGGTAATTAAATGGGCAATCACCGGTATAAAGACCTATTTTCCTTAATTCTTGCCTTCTGAGAGAGAAGTTTTTGTTTTCCCATCAAGGAACTTCTTTTATCGCTTTGCACTTGGTTAATGCATACAGTGTGTGGTCAACTCTTTCTCCATCCAATTGTTCAATTTCGATTTTAGATTTGGGGTGTGCCAAATTGCGCTTCTGATCCAGGGAGTGTGAGCTGCTCCTGCTTTGGCTAGTTTGTCCACCTGTTTGTTGCCTTTAAACATATATCCTGGTTCCCACATCAAAGTTATTTTGTTTTCTCAGGAAATAGATTCCCAGACCAGCTTTGTACTGAAGATGGAGGAGTCATTTGGTTATCTGAGATGTATAATTGTGCACTGTTTAATACTTTTTAAAGTATTTCTTGTGTGCAAAGTTTTATTGCATGGACCTCAGCATGGAAAATTGATGGCGTGGGGCTTAAAGGATTTGCTAGATCAAAATTTTGAAAGTACATGTTGATGATGATTATGATGGTAGATACTAGTAATTGGGGTGTTCCTCAAGTACTGCAGTCGTCTGGCTTATTGAACTTTCGTAGTTCCTTAGTTCAATGCAATTGACTCTATCCTTCTCCTAAGTACTAGATCATTGATTGTCGTTGAGACGATATAGGTGACTGTTTCTTCCTCATCGCTTAACCTACAAATGGGATCATTATTGAATGTACCCATGTTATGAGGATGCTTTCTTAGATGCCAGTAACCACCAACCGGTATATAATCCTATTAGTCCTCTGTACTTAGCCCTCTCTAACTGTAGCAGTGAGTTTGCCACTTTTGGGGAGTGTTGTTTTAGCATAAGCTATATCTAGCACCTCTAGAGTTTATCCACTCTCCTTTTTTGGATCCATTCTGTGATGGAGGATGGTTCATATTTTACAACGACAGGCAGATTAATTAATTCTTCAGGTTAATGAAAGGTCATGTAAGGTCAATAATTAGTTTGTGATTAGTAGATTAGTATGGTTGGTCATGATGATGTGTAAGCAGACATTAACACTGGCACTACATTTGGCACTTCAATTTGATTGATGATCCTCAACATCTGATTTTGGGTGAATTCTTCCCAGAAGCAAATGTTCAAAACGATTCTGAAGTCGTAGGTTCAAAATAGAAACCATTGCAACTTTGTTATTCATGGTCTCTTTTTATAACGTTTCTTTCCTTGTGAGATTTCTTCTTGGTTTGGGTCGTTTTCGACCATTTTGGTCTGCTTAACCCTGTGTTGATCTTTGTCGTTTCTGTTTTCGTGAAAGGTGGAAGGACAGGGCACTCAGCACTGAAGATGACGAGAAGCCGAACGCGTCTGAGAGACCAAAATGGTCGAAAACAACCAAACTACATTTCTTTCTTTGCTACGATTCCGTTTCACGTCCTCGTCGGAATGGTTTCTAACATTTCAGACTGAGAAAAAAGACTTTCCACACAATCTATTTAATAATTATATTACCAGTTTATTAACAATTAACGTTCTCACAAGCTAACCATAATAACACAAACACCATCATCATTGGTACAGGCGGTTTTGGGGACTTTGTTGATATGCGGAAAGCATTAATAAAGTTGGTTTATTTTTATTTAGTGCGTTTGTTGCGAGTGTATACAAACATTTCAAAAATATTAAAATGTCAAATAATCGAAAATGCCTACCTTTAAAGCCAAAAAAACTTGTAAAAGTTATAGTAATTTAAAATATAAAAAAACACATTTTCGTTTTTAAAAACGCTGTATTTTAAAAGTAATATGTTTTGTTTTATGGTTCAATTAATCGTATTGTTCGTAGATATGGTTAAAATTACGTAAAAACACACCTCTGTTAAAAATATTTCGTTGTTAGTAACTTTTAGTACGTTTTTCAATTCGGCCTTCTTTTGTCTCCATTTTGAGTAGTAATGTTCTTTTGGTGAGCCAGGATCCTGTCCTACGTTTTTTTATTATTATTAAAATAATAGTAAGGTAAGTGTAAGTTTTAAATCTATGACAAAGAGGAAAAGGTATTTATTTGTATTTGTGACAAAATGAATGACAATGACAAAAGAATTAATAAGAGCACAGCGAAGTTTGATGTTGGACGATCGATTTCATCTTGTCTTTTGTCACACATGTGACAAATACGTTGTTTATCCCCGTTTTGAACTTATTTTAATAATCTAATAGAATAAAAAATGGATTTTTATCATTTTTTTGTACCTTAAAATCATTTTAAGGACAGGATATCTCATTTTTCTTACAATTTAGTTATTTAGTTAGTTAGTTTAGTTATCAGTTTATTTTCAGAAAACTCCTATGAATTTTTATTTTTTCCGGAGCAAAAACATCACAGATCAAGAAATAGCAATTAGGAACTAATGGATATTGAAGGAGTATTTGACTACCCTACTTTTGAATCAATCTCCTTGACGAGCGAGGACTGACAGACCTTTATAGATGGATAAAAAAACTATGCTAAAAAGCTGAAAAGTGCAGGCCTCCATGTTACATGAAATAGTGTAGCAGCCCAGCAGTAGTGACGAGGGGGTGTCCACAAGGACGAATGCTTGCACTTCTCCTGTAGAATGTGATTGCGGATGACCTTAGCAAATTAAATGAAAGTGGAATCGACACCCAAGGCTAAACAGACAATATTTTCATATTTTTGCCACAGAATTAAAACAGCTCATCCAAAAAGAACTCAACATGAGCAATAAAAGAAGTTTATGATGGAGTGAGTATACCTAATAGTTGAAAAAGATAGTTCTACTTATAAACTGTTTTAGACAGTTATTTAGACGTTTTGCATTAAATACGCATTTTCTGATCATGCTTACGCCTGACCAAAAACAGTTGGTAAGTAGAACTATCCTTTCAACTATTGATAGAGCAATGGTCCTCAAAGCCCCTCAAATAATAACAATCACTAAATAACATTTATCCAGAAATAAAACTTAAAAAATAGGAGTCCCATGGTTTTAAAATGAAGTGTTTCTGTTAAAAAATGAACTTAAATACCTAGGAATCATCGTTGACAAGAAATTAACCTGAAACACTCACCTAAAACATATCATAACCAAAAGTAAAATATTACTAATGACCACAAGAAGAACCTTGGGGACTAAGATGAAAATGGCATATTGGCTAATACACAGCAGTGATAAGATATAAGATATTCTATTATGTTTTTAATCTGGTAAAGTTAACAAGTGACCCAAAAATAATGCAGTGTGTAGGCAATGTCTATGACTGCATTAATGAATTAGAAACACTATTAAACTTACCATATAAAAGGAGATGCTAGGAAAAGCTCAATCAAACTGCTAAAACTAAACATATCGGGCATATAACAAGGAAGAAGAAATCAAGAGAAAATACAATACAATTATATAGTATACAGTTGGCTCCAAAGCCGGGAAAGAAACTATGTCTGGTATAATTGGTGCAAGCCCAAAATATGAGCAAGTTCATTGTAGAAGAGCACCTCGGCCTTTCAACCTGAAGTACATTCTATTAATACTTGTGCTTACAATCTTATAAAATCTTACACTGGCAGAAAAAAATCCTGAAAACATTAGCAAGTAAAAAGGTCACATATAAAGTACTCAGTGGATTCTTCCAAAATTTCCAGAACCAAGGAAACCATTACAGCCTGACCTGTCTAGGGTGCCTTGGTACAAAAGAGTTTTGGGTAATGAACAGACTGGCTAGAGAATGTATCTAGGCCCAGAACCTTAGATAAAACTAAACTTAAAGTAAACTTAAAGATTAAAAACACCCTCAGCAATACAGGTAAACTTATTACTAGTTAGATAGGGTAAAATAAAGGAATGGTTTATGGTTAGTCTAACTGGTCAATGGCGTTGGAGAAAACATCTACACAAATAGGAGGTATATTCAACCAAAACCTTACATAAAAAGATTAATTAATTGAAAGAAGTAATTTGGTCAATAGACCACTAAACATACTGTGTATATTCAATGATGACCCTATTAGTAGGTTATGCAATAAGGAAGAAACTGCCACCCATATAATCTTTGAATGTGAAGCAACGAAGACATGCCTAGGATACAAAAAAGACACAAGAAAAAGATTTGCAACAATAACAGTCAATAACTTACTATTTTATAAAAGAAGGATGCGTCAATTGAACTGAACTAAGTAACTAGGAAAAGTACAATAAGTCAAAAGACTCAAGCTGCATCCTCCTCATCATCATTACAGTGATTCAGAGGCAGAAAAAAGCTCTTTTTTAAATTTTATCTTTCCTTCAAGTAATATAATTAATATTTAGTTTATTAGTTGTAGCACTGTGTTTGGGTATTGTTTATACATTGGGTATAATTTTTTTATGACATCAGAACTAGATTTCTGTCAACCAAAAGTTTTGCAGTTTGTAAAGCAAAAGTTGCTTTAAAGTTTTTATTACTAATATAGTTATCTAAAAACAAATTTGCACCATAATAGTACATACTTAACAGAATCATTTTGTAAATGCTGCGAATATCACTGTAGTAAGAATTCTACAATAAAAAAACATGGAAATGAATGTATAATTTTTCTGCAAATGCATGTTAAAGACGCAGAGCTCCAAGCTAAGAAGATGGTTATTATTGTATTAGTTATTTCTTTAAGCTTTTTGGTTTCTGTATTTCAATACTACAATTTTTTATATTATTCATTTATAATTAATAATTATATTTAATGTTATACTAAGTTTTTTATTTTTCTGCAGTTATTTCAAGTATCAGAGAGAAAAAGTAACCCAGAGTTTGGAATTAATGTCACTCTATATTTTACTTTATAGTAATAGTTTACTCTATTTTTTAATCTAATAAAATAAGATCTGTATACTTTTGATCTTACATTAGTTAATTAGTTTAATTAATAAGACTTCAAATCGTACTTATTTTATATTTTTCAATGTTATTCAAACATTTTTTAGCCATTGTCAAGAGAAACAAAGATGTCATCAAGTGACTGCTTTAGAGACTCGCTACCGCAAAGTTCTGGGAGCAAGGGTGCAGGAGATGCTGAAGAAGAAAGCGTCGGCATTGACACCTTCTACGATGGATTCTTTGAGGACAGCTCAGCAGCCTCAGGAAATGAAGCTGTTGATTTAGAAGCAGAGTTTTCCTCTAATGACAGCAGTAAGTTGTGCGGGGGGGGACTCATGTTGCTAGATGATGTGTAAAGTCCTAGGCTTGTCTGATGGGAATAGCTGTTAAGTTGGGTTTGAAATAAGTCGACCTTTCCTCATTTGGAGGGTCGATAGTACAGATCTCTATTTGGAAAAAAAAAAAAGAAAAAAAGAAGGGTTTGCAACAGCAGAGGTCTTATGAACCCTCGGATTGTCAGTGTTTTTGAAAAAAAAAATGTATGTTGGGTTTGAATGCTTCACAGGACCTTTATGTTACAGTAATGAGCACTGTGTTAACACCTAAATCGTTGTGGCTACCGACACCCCAATTCTACAACATTGCTAGAAATTCATACTGGTAGTACACTATAAAAGTTTTTGGTTTATTTATCCCCACTACTTCAAAGCTCAGGTTTTAAGCTTATACTGACTGATTGAAGATGGCAAAATACTGAAACACATTTGACAAACAGTACCAATTGTCCTTAATGCTGCTTGACAATCAATGTTATATTCATATAGCTTTAAAAGGTGATATTTCTATTTTTTTTTAATGTTTTCTGTCAGTCTCTTTTGGTATTTTTATGGGATGTTCTGTTATTTTGTCATTTATGTCCTTTTTAAAGTTCACACAGTTTAAAAAAAAAAGATGTGACTAAATAACAAAGACCAAACATTGAAGATATGCCAAAACTATTGAGAATATAGACAGAGAACAGGTAGATGATTAAGAAGTTAAACATGTTAAATTAAAAATATGTATAATGTCCAATTGTTCAGTTAATTTGTAAAATATATATTTTTGTAATTGTTTTACAGATTCTGATTTGGATACAAAAACGAATGAACATCTTTCAAACCCACAAAATTCAGGAGACTTTAAGAAAAAATCATTCAAAGATGATGAGGACAATCATAAAAAGTTGACTTCACGCATAAAAGAGTATATGAGGAAAATGAGATCCCAGGTGAATTTATTCTACAAACACCGTACTTAGTCTACGTCAAAAATATGAGCATTGGTCATTTTCAGGAGAAAAAAAGTTAGCAGATGGAGCACACGGTGGAAATACATCGGTAGGAGACAATCCGATGAATCTTAGAGATAAAGAATCAATATTAAAGAAATACAATTATAAAAATAGTCTGAAGCAGGTGGAAAACCTGAGTTTTCTGGATATGCACGATTCGTCAGACAGTTCATTAGAATGTAGATACAGATCGGATTTTGATGCGCGTACGAACAGATTTGAAAAACTGAGGAGTATTTCATCGACAAAATCAATGCCACCAAAAAGAAACAAATTAGAAAATTCTAATATACCAAAGGAGCAATACTTCCCTGAATATGCTGACTTGGAGGAGAAATTAATCGAGTTGAAAAATGCTGGAATACTCGACTCGCCCGATCAAAACAACGAACAACTACTTAGAGTTAAAAAGAAAGTCGCGGAGTGGATGAAAGGCGAGAATGCGAAGACTGAATCGTTCAAAGAGAAAATCAGAACAAACAGAAAATCCTCCCTACGCCATAACACGAACGCAGTGGACGAGGTGGACAAAGAACCCACCAAACTGTCTAAAGCTGAAAAATTACTGTCTGACACAGTGAATTCACTTTCGCCCTTAAAATACAGAGATTCTTTAAACAAGAAGAGAGAAGGTATACTGCAATTACTCCGTGACGATACATGCTCGATGCATTCAAAGCCAAAAGTTCAAGCTTTAAATAAACTGGTGCTCACTGACAATAAGTCGGCAAAGAAACATGGATTTTCCTCGAAACTTCTCCAAAATATTAGTGGATTGAAACAAAAGGTAGATTCTGAAATGCCCAAGTTGACACCAAAGAAGTCAATCTTAAAAAAACCAACTAAAAGTACAGCCCACTGAGCCTCGAGAACTTTAAAGAAATCCTGAAAAATGGCTATAAAAATATTTATAAATAAATAAACTGTCCCTTAATGATTGTCTGCCTTTTTATTACTTATTAATTTAAATTTTAAGATATAAACCATATCCTAGACTTTACATAAATTAACGAAAATTTAGTAAATAAATGTTTGAACCATAGTAAAATACAATAAATAATAAATGCAATTCATAAAAATTTAAAACAAAATAATCAGGGGTAAACACTGATAAAAATAATTTAATTAGCAAAGTATAATAATTACAAATGTTTTATTACAAATATAAAATAGCTTTACAATAATAAATATATACATATAATAAAAGTTTTATTTCTCTTCGGTATTGATACCATATTTTGCCTTCATTTTGTCAAGTTCTTCTTTCTTCTTATCAATATCAACTCTCTTAAATGCTTTGTTCGCCTGAAAATAACACAAATTAGAAATTGGTAATTTTCTAAGCTTAGAAAAAAAATTACCTGGTAGTAAAGTACAACGAGATAACGATTGCAAACATTGAATCCAGACAGGTGGTCGCAGGCATTTTTAGCATCGAATATGTCTTCATATACGACAAAAGCAGTGCCTCGTGTTTCCGGTGTGTTACCTCTAAAAATAAAAAAATAAAATTAATGTTTACTCCCAGGCTATTATTAGAAAAAAGTGTGATACATACACTCTAACTTGTCTTATAGCACCGTATTTTCCAAAAATATCGTACATTTCTTCTGCAGTTATTTTGTACGGGAGATTCCTAATGTAAAGCACTCTATTGACCTCAGGTGGCAACCTTACCTAAAAATAAAATATATAGCAACATTAATAATATATTTAGAGATCGTGAGATGTGGTCTGGTGTGACAGGTTTAGAAAAACATTTTCTTATCGTGCCAACGTTTCGATCTTTATTGAAGCCTGAAGATGATGTCAATAAAGATTGAAACATTGGCACAATAAGAAAATGTTTTTCTAAACCTATGTCACACCAGACCACATCTCACAATCTCCAAAAAATCATTAATTAATGGTCACTAAACACCACACATTAGTAATATACCATTATACTACTAACTAAACTGTTATCAATTATAATTTGTAACTTAATCTATTCTAAAATTAAACTAAATTAAAACTGTCATAATTAAATGCTATATACAATAAATAATATATAATGAACAATGTGTAAAGTAGAGGGTGAATATTTGGAAAAACCCCAAGACTTTTTTTAATCTAGTTCACATGGGCCAAAAATTTTTGATTTAACAGTAAGTTTGTGAGACACGAAAATGTGCTCAGTCTGAAATACTAAAAAAAGTTTTTGCTTCAAATATTTTAAAATAGCATTCAATGCTCTCCTTTTAGCTAATAATTGGTTAACATGTAATGTGTGTAATTGTTTACACTTTCCATTAATAAAAACAATAAATAATGGACTACTGACTGTTGACCTTTGGAAGAAAAGTAGTACCAAGTTACAAGAAGGGACCGTAATATGGTACACAAATGGATCAAAGATGGAACAGGGAATAAGTCCCCGGGACGAGTAAACTTTTATTTTTTGTCTTGTTCTCATGAGCCAAAACGTTTTGCCCTAACAGTAAGTGTTTTGGAAGGTGGAGATGGTAGGTCTGAAATACTAAACAAAGTTTTGGATTGCTTGAAATATTTTAAAATAATATCTGATGCTCTACTTTATCACCTTTTAGCTAATAATTGGTTAACATGTAATGTGCATAACTGGTTAACACCTTCCATTAATAAAAACAATAAATAATGGTCTACGATTTCAATTCAGACTGAACTCCTATCCAGTGCAAAATTATCTAAGGCAATTAAGTCTACTTTACAAAAACACAGGATGAAACTTCTTAAGACAAACGTATGCAAAAACAATGTCTTCATAATAAAGGGGCAATAACTTTCCACTCTTAAATATTTATGTACAAAATATGGCTTTTGAGAGTGCCGACTTCTGAGATACAAGGAAATAAAGCCAGATCTAAGGAGGAACCACTACAAAATTCCGGAGAGAATTATAATAAATAAGAAGGCTATAACAGTACCTGACAAAATGAGAGAAAAACTCAACTGTGACAGACTTTTTCCAAATGGTAATAGATAATAGAAGCCTTTTGAGGAAAGATAGTACCAAGTTTCAGTTAGGGGCCAAAATATGGTACACAAATGGATTGAAGAAGGAACAGGTAGTAGGGCCAAACTATAACACAGCAAAACCCGTTGGACTAATCCCAACAATTTTCCAAGCTGAAGTCAAAGCAATATAACTCTGTGCACAGAAGTTAATAAAGAAAAATATTAAAGGTGCACAAATTTACATACTCTCAATCAGGCAGCTAACAAGGGACTAATTACAAATGCTTTTAACTCCAAACATGTCTCTGAGTGCCTAAATTGCATAGGAAAACACAACAAGATTACTCTAAATTCCCGGACATGAAGGTATATAAGGAAATGAATAGGCTGATCGACCAACTGGCCTAAAAAAGGGGCAGCCCTCTCACCTATAGGACCAGAACCACAACTAGATGCACTAGACTGTGGGCTTAAGTTGGAATTGAAAAAATGTCTTAAAAGAAAAATTCAAGCGCTGAATAAAAGCACCAGGTATGAAGCAAGCTGAGATTTTAAATGTCTCAAAAAGGAAGGCAACTCCTCTCTCTCAACAGGCAGGATTTGAGAAAAATTATAATTATTGGCCTCTATACCAGCCATTGCTCTATTAACTACCACCAAGTATACAAGCAAAGTGGAGACAGAAACATGCTGACTTTTACATTTCTTGACTCTGGACACTCAGTCTCGAGGAACCTGAGACATCGGCACATATCGTTTGTGAATGTGAAATATTAACCCCGTTACGGGACACCCACTTCGGTAAAGCAATTCCCACAACAAGAGATGCGCAAGTGCTTAACCGTATAGGGAAAAGTGCACTTTGTAAGTTATAATAATTTATAGGGGTTCCGCAATAGTTCTACATGTCACAGTGGAGAAAATGATTTTTACAATTCTTATTCAACCCCAAAACTCAAAAACAAAAACAAACCAAAAATGCACTGAATAACTTGTAGAAAATATCAAGGTAAGCCAAAAACGCAAATATCAATGTAGAAGACATCTGAACAATGTTTAAAAATTTCCACTTGTTTTTCTTTATAAGTTATAAACGAAAATACATCAAAAACTAAGATAATACCCAAAACAATCTGAAAATTAGAAATTCTCTCGTCTGAGTGTAAATTGCCTGAACACCAAGAAAATAAAAACAGAAAATACTACCAGCCTACTTTTTTTTATTAGAAAAGGAGACAATTTTGAATTTCATTTATAGTTCAATTATTTATTAATTACTTTGACTGCTTTAGACCTAAAACAAGTTTAGAAAACACAGTCTCAGAATAATTAATTTTAATTATGAGTAAAACTTATTTTATATTCATGCATATTTGTTTAGTTGTCATAACTGACCATACAACTATACTTTTTTTTTAAGGTTTTTGGTTGAGATGAAAAAATTACTGTCACGAGCGGGATTCGAACCCGCGACCTTCGTCTTTTTATTATGCTTATTATTATAATTTAGAATTTTAATTATAAATATATTTTAATCTTACATTTGCTCTCCTCTGCATTAAAGCCATTCTGCAAAGTTTCTCACTTCTTCAATACAAACAAAACGACACCCAACGACTCAAGGCAAGCAGTCAAGCACCGAACTTGGGTTTGATATTAGTAAGGTACTGTAAAAGTGTAAACCCAAGTTGTTTGGAATCGATCAAACCTTTTCACACATTGTATCAGAGTGAGCGTTTAAAATTTAATATTGTTTATATTAAAATGAAATAAACTTTAAAACAATAAATGTCTATTTTTTCTTCAAAAATATACTATTCTTGCCAATAAAAACTACTTGACTTTGCGATTGAGTCAACTCTGGAACCCTGGTGAGCCTCTTGCTAAATAAAAAATCCTTCATTACTTTTTTTTAACGTGGTTCAGATCCACGTTTCCCGTACATATTATATTATTGAAAAATGGTGAGTATTTATGAAATCTTAAATGTTTTAATTTATTACTCTTGCTTTAAATTCAATTTGTTGGTTTACTTTTAAATATATATTGAATACGACGAGATATTTTTGGGAAAAAGTCTTGTTTACGAACATGCCATGTGGCTTCTACTTGGGCTCTTTAAAATTATTCCAATTTTCCTTCTAACATTTTCGATTTTTTTCAGTCGACTCATAAAAAGAAGACTAGGAAGCTGAGAGGGCACGTGAGCCACGGGCACGGACGTGTTGGTGAGATATTTGCTAAATTGTATTTTATTGGTTAAGTTGACATGTTAGCCTTAAGTACAAAGCTCGGAAAAGGCCAATTTAAAGAGTTACTTAAAAAAAGTGAACCATCATTTATTAATTGTAATCAAGATTATAATAACTTTAGGTTTAAGGGGGAGGTACATATGCATGTGAGTTATATCGACACTTTGGGAGGAGTTCTTGAGTTGGGTTGCATGTATGTTTTTCCTTATTGCGATACATAATTAAAGTTTTCAATTATTGTACTAAGTATTTTTTCGATGGTGGGTGTTGGTCTGCAAGTGAACACATGTACTGGTACTGGGTACGCCAATATTCAAGGGTTTTTGATGTTAGTCAACTTAGAGAAACTCACTACGGGCCATTGCCCCTTGAGAAGATACCTCTTCATAATGGGTACTCTACCAGACCCCTTCTGCCGCTTCTGCGAAACAAAAGAAGAAACGGCTCGACACTACCTTGCAGAATGCGATAGGTATGCTAGGAAAAGATTTGATACTTTCGAAGGAGAGGACATAACCAAAACACTCCCCAGGATAAAATGGTCCACAATCTTGGGGTTTGTGAATAGGTCCAAAAGGTTTATGCAGGACTCGTGAGCCAACCAGGTCCCGGACCTTTTAGTGATGGGGTACGGGCCTACCCAGGCTTTTAACCCCTCGGGTCCTGGTCGCCCGCCCTGCGTAATATATATATAGAGAAACCCACTGGTGTAGGTGAACCCAGTTTTGGTTCAAGAAAAGTTGTTTGTTTTTGTTTGCCAAGGAAGAAAAAAGACATCTATTGACCTTCCCAGTTTAATTTTTTTTCTAAAAGAACTAACTAGCATTAATTGCTTGTAGGTAAGATGTTGATTCCTTTTTTCATAAAAAAAGAAAAAAGGGTAAAAACAGTAAAAGAGGGGTGCCAGAGGCACACTGGTTAAAGTAACATCGCCGTAAGGGTATGGGTTCGAATCTCTAACCCTGAATTTGAACTCAACATTTGTAATGTTTGGTGATTAGTGACGGTTAATCGATAATTATTCAGAAATTGTGAGATGCACCTCAAAGAAGCCGACGCCTTATACAAAAATGTCTTTTCTATACTGACTTCCTTCCCCACCCCTTCAAAATCCAATGTATATAAACATAAAACAGCAAAATCTCACTGACATTCTCAACATGGCACGCAAGAATGGCACAATTACACACTTCGATTGAGTAGAAATACTTTGATTGAATATTAAAAAAATATATATATATATATTTTGCATTGTATAAATTCACTTTTTTCCAAATCCTAAATGTATTTGTTAAATGTAAACAATCTTTGTAAATCCCAGGCCCTGAAGATGATCTCATAAAGATCGAAACGTTGGCACGATAAAGAAAATGTTTTTCTGAAACCTACATCACACCAGACCGCATCTCACGATTTCTGAATAATTATTTGTAATGTTTATTATTTATTTTTAAATACCAACACCCTTGGTTGACATGACCTGTTGCAAATCCCCTTGAAAAAGTATCTCCTGAAGCGAGTCAAAACATTGGGAAATATGTGTGATGTTTAGTGACCGTTAGTTAATGATTATTCGGAGATCATGAGGTGCGGTCTGGTGTGACGTAGATTTTAGAAAAACATTTTCTTTATCGTGCCAACAGTTCGATCTTTATTGAGATCATCTTTAGGCCCTGTGAAAATGTTTTCACATCCTACATGTATTTGTAAAATTTAAACAATGTTTATAAATCCCAGGCTCTGAAGATGATCTCAATAAAGATCGAAAACAGCATGATAAAGAAAATATTTTTCTAAAACTTACGTCATACCAGACCGCATCTCACGATCTCCGAATAATCATTGGGAAATACCTTTGTAAAAAAAAAAGAAAAAAAGTCTTCTTCCCAGGCCAACTGCTCACCTTTCATACATAGCTTGGATTGTATTAGATCATCCTGGTATGACTATCTTACTGGTTTTTGTCAGGCAAAGTAAAAGTTATTTGTGATCATCAGTGTTTGGTCAAATATATATGATGATTGTAGCATTGAGTAATTTCTAAACCTATTAGAATTAACTCCCGAAGCTAGCAAAATGCTAAAACCTGGCTTGTTGGACACATCAGCGATAATAGGTAGAATGATTGGTCAAATTTTAAATTTAAAAATTTATGTATGAACTTACTTTGCTTACAAAAATGTATTTTTATTAAAATGTTACCAACTGTTATTTGCAAGAGTATTTTTTCAATCAGTTTATAAATAAAACCCGAACTTAGGGGATTAAAAAATTATTGCTTAGTTAATGTGTATGCGTTCAACTTCAGAACTCAATTAAAAATTTAGAGACTGCAGTGGTACGGCGTCCAATTTGCATTTGCCACACTAACAGTTCTGGGTTTGAATCCTGGCTTGGAATTTTAATTGGTAATAATATGTAAGTGGCTTGACTTTTTTGTATAACAGGATTTTTTTTCCCTTCCCCCTGCAATGGATGAAACTCTCTGGGCACTGCAGTCTGCACCACACTTTTTTACTCACTACCAGGTTCCATTTTAAAAGTGATGAAACAATTTTTTTTAATGCTATGGCCATCGCTCCCGTTGTGGGTGAGAAAATCCAGGGATGAATCAAACCCACAACTTGGGATCTACTAGCCAAGAGTCTTGCTTTAAAAATTAAATAAATCCATGTAAAAATTCAGAGCATCAGAAAATCAAAATCAGGCATATTTTTTTATAAACAATATTAGTTTAGTAGAAGACTGCTTTATTAAGGAAAAGTATTTAGTGAAATATTTAGAAAATGTGTTATCCCATAAGACATTGATTTGTATTTTCTAAAATTTTGGTCAAATATTTCAACTTATTTCAGGTAAACATAGGAAGCATCCTGGAGGCCGAGGAAACGCTGGTGGCATGCACCACCACAGGATCAACTTCGACAAGTACCATCCTGGGTATTTTGGTAAACTGGGTATGAGGAATTACCATTTGAGAAGGAACCAAAAGTTCTGCCCTGTTATCAACCTTGACAAGCTTTGGACTCTTGTCCCACCAGAAACCAAGGAAAAGTTCAAGAACCATCCACAAAAGAAAGCTCCCGTCATTGACTGTGTCCATGCTGTAATAATCCTTTTATCTTCATATTCCAAAATTTGAATTTATTACAATAAGATGTTTTATTTTTAGGGTTACTACAAAGTTCTTGGCAAAGGATACCTTCCTAAACAACCTGTAATAGTTAAGGCTAAATTTTTTTCTAAGGGCGCTGAGGAGAAAATTAAAGCAGTCGGTGGAGCTTGTGTTTTATCTGCTTAGATAAATAAAAGTTTTTATTAAGATTTTTATTTTGTTGACCTTATGTGTACCTTACAATCATTCTTTGTTTTGAATGATACAACTTCTAAGAAACATTCTCACACAAAATATCTGCTGGATTAACATTAAATACTCTTGCTGCTTTGTAAAGGTGTAAAACAGTTTTGAATACAATAAAAGAATTTCATTTAAAATAAAAATATTTCCAATTTTTTCTGCAAGTTTGGACAAATATTCTCATTTTGTTACCAGTTTGTGTTCATCCACGAGCTTCAAGATTATACATATATCTATTTTTATGTACTTTCGCCGCTAAACAAGTTTTTGAAATCTGACTTGCCCATACAACGCATTTTCCATTGTGCATGCTTCTTTTTAACTGTTCACGAAAGTTGTTCAGAAGTTAAAATTAACAACTAGACATGTTTTTCTACCCTTTGCCTTTTATTTGTGTACCTAGGATGGTCAGAGAATTGAATTTTACATTTACAAACTTGTATATCAGACTGCAAGTTTCTTGCAAATATTTTTTTACGTAAAGTACTGCTAAGTAAAATTTTTATTCAAACCCTCAAAACAGCTTCAAGTGAAGCTTGATGAGATGTTTTATTAAACCTTCACCATTTTATTAATTTGTACGTGCCCAACATGATTTATTTTCAAATTTTTACAAACCCTCCAAACAGGTTCGAGTGGAGCATGACGAAATGTTTTATAAAACTTATTACAATTAAGGTTTTTAGTTAAGATAAAAAAAAGTTAATGGCACGAGCGGGATTCGAACCCACAATCTTCGGCTAAAAAATTGGCTTGCCAAATCTATTAGTCAAAAACATCATGGCTCTGATCACTGAGAGGGAAATCTATTTTGATATTAATGGTAAAGTTTCCGGTCCTAGAATCTCGCGTAAGGGTCTTCCGCAAGGAGGCATCCTGAGTCCACTACTCTACGCGATCTATGTTGCGGATCTCGTTACGGTTTTACCAGAGGGGGTGAAAATTACCCAGTATGCGGACGACATATGCCTGTACGTGTCGGCTAAAGATCCAACAAAATGCAAAACACTTTTAAGTCGAGCAATTTTTGGGCTTTCAGGGTGGATGAATGAAAACGGACTCACAATCTCGGAAGGTAAATCTCTCTTATGCCCTTTTACTAGGAAAAGGAACATTGATCTCCGTGGTAGTGAAAATCTAGGAGGGTATAACTTTCCTGTAGTTTCTCAGGTAAAGTTTTTGGGTTTACATCTTGATAGGAAATTAATGTGGAATACACATATCTCTTATATGTTAATGAAATGTGAGAAGCTGTACAATATTTTGCGGTCTATAAGTAATAAAAAGTGGGGAGTGGACCCACATATAGGTATGTTGTTTTATAGATCGACTGTTAGACCTATTTTGGATTTTGGATCAATTTTGTACGCACAGGCTTCTAACACCTCTCTGAAACGATTGGATACGGTTCGCAATAAANTAATGGCACGAGCGGGATTCGAACCCAAGATCTTCGGCTAGATACGCCGCTGCTCTACCACTTGAGCTATCGTGACCTCGATCCACTCGGACATCAACTTCCTATCTCAACCCCACCTTAAGAGTCGCTCCTTTTGGCCATTTTTCAAGTGGTAGAGCAGCGGCGTATCTAGCCGAAGATCGTGGGTTCGAATCCTGCTCGTGCCATTAACTTTTTTCCATCTCAACTAAAAACCTTAATTAATTGTAATGATTTAATTGGTCAAGCAGACTATGAAATTAGTGAATTTAAAGTTTTATAAAACCTTCACCATTTTCTTTATTTGTATGCACCCATAATTTATTTCCAAATTTTTACAAACCCTCAAAACAGGTTCGAGTGGAGCATGACAAAATGTTTTATTAATCTTCGCCATTTTTTATTTATTTGTGCCCACACAACGTGATTTGTTTTCAAATGTTTACAAACCATTTCTTGAGCTCTTGCCAACCACAGGGTTTTGAAAAATTAGATCATTCTGTGGAAGTATTTTTCAAAGCCGGCATGATGTCCTCTTTTTCTGTTGCCTTCGAAATCCAGTGAGATTTTTGTCAATTGAATCTCAGACCATTTTTTTTTTCTTTTGCACCTTTTTATTTATTTAAACCCGCCCAGAAGGGCCAAGATGATTTATATTCAAACCACCCGTATGTTTTTGAACAGACCCGGGGCAAATATTTTTTACTTGTCACTGTGCACCCATTGTTTTGCAAAAACAAATAGCCCCATATTACACATCTTCCACTTTTTAGGAGCTCTTGCCACTTCTCAATTTTTTAAAAATACGAACCAGCCCCAAGGCAAACATTTTCCATTTCCTCTTTTTCTGTCATGTCTGCCCATTTTGGGTGAGATTTTTGTCAATTTGATACGAGCTATACCAAGTATTTTTGTAACCTTGGATCCTTTTGACTTTTTTGTATCCATCCAGGAGGAGGGTCAAGATGTTCACAAACAAACTATTTCTCTTGTGTTTTTGTACAAAACCCTCAAGGAAGTATTTTCTTTGTGCACCTAGAGTTTTTCAAATCCAAGCAGACCCATATATCCATTGTATTCCCCTTTTTGCAAGCAATTGCCATTTCTCACAGGTTTTTGAATGTCTGAAGCAGCCCGTGTAAATATTTTTCAATTACTCTCTGTCTGTCTTTGCCCATTCAGGGTAATATTTTTACAAATTTGAATAGAGCAAGGCCATAGATTTAAGCAGAGCTAAGACGCTAGACTAAATGTTTTGTAAACCCCCTTTATACATGTTTGTACCACCTAGGAGAAACAATAAAGATTATTCCAATTAATTATTCTTTTCATCTAAAGATCTTGTTTGAAATGCAAAAGTTAGTGTTACAAGTGGTGACCAAGACTAGATAAAAGTACAATTAATTAAAATAATTAAATAGGTCAATTATGACCACTAAACATGTATAGATAGGTATGATTTATTTTCAAATTTTTACAAGCTTAAGGCATTTCAAGGTTTTTGTTTGTACAACTGAGTAATAGACCAAGGATTTTTTTTGCTTTCTATCACTGTGCACACAGTGTTTTGTAAATCCAAATAGTCAAAAATATTTTTTTTATTTTACTGATTTAACTGAACTTGGAGGGGTCTTGATGATTGATTTAAAATTAGTTCAAAATTTCTTATTACCATCTATTAAAAACTTAATTATGTTAGTTTGTAGATGTACAATATTTGTAAATATGTTTTGCACAGATGATGACCTTAATATGGATTGAAAGCTTGTCAGTAAGAAAGTAAAAAAGTGGTTGGTATAGCTGTATTTATATTATTATATACTGACATATACTTTAAACAAACTTTTAACCACTTCTTGTAATTTTTTTTTCAGATTTCCACTTTTATTATTAATTCTAATACAATTAATTAAGGTTTTTAATTGAGATGAAAAAAAGTTAATGGCACGAGGGATTCGAACCCACGACCTTCGGCTAGATACGCCGCTGCTCTACCACCTGAGCTATCGTGACCTCGATCCACTCGGACATCAACTTTAGTGAAATTAATTCTAATGTTTATGCATTATAGGGATCTCTATTTTGTTTTGCTACCAAAAGGTAACTTCTATTTGATTGGAGGAAGCTTAAAAGAGATCAATTTGGTCTAAATGTAGAAAAATTGACCCTAAAAAATTAATTCACCCATGTTGAGAAACCATGGTTCTAGAAACAGGATTGGGTTTATTTTTTGTCAGAAATTAGGAGCTGAATAAACTTCAAGCAAAATTATATATTTGTGAATTGAATTAACAAAAACGATGTACATTTGGTAAATTGAAATGATAAGAATAACAAAGTAAATTTATCACAGGTGGATATTATTTAGCACAAAGGCTATGGCAAATTTGGCATTGGAAAAAAAAACCAAGTATTTTGTTATGTACAATTTAGTAATAAAATAGAAACATGTGCATTGTTCAAATAAGAGTTTAAAAGAATGAAATTGTAATTTTCTTTTATATTTAATTACACAACAATTTTGGAAGAATTAACATAGCAAATATCTCTTTCAAAAATACTTTAGAAGTATTGAAGATAATTCATTTTTCTAACAATAAAGTGGCAGTTAAAATTTGGAATTTTGCAACATTTGGACTAAATTCTTTTAATTTGTGTTTATTAATATCAAATGTAACATAATTGTAAAAAATATAAGTTATGTTCTAAACTATATCTAAACTAAATATTATTCTACTTATAATTATCGTATTACGAAGTCATCTTTTTTCTTGAATGAATTACTGATTTCTTTTCTCAGACAAAAAACAACAATAAACTTTTGATTTTCGAAGTTTTTGACTTATAATTTATTCGGATTTCCATTTTCACAAAATAAAAACACCATTTAATTCATTTGTATAATACAGAAAAATCAGCATATTTATATATATTAATATGTAATATTAGCAAAAATATTACATATACATTGGATTTTGTATGAGTTATTCACTAAATTTCTTTACAGGACTAATAATTTTTCTTAAAATATTTATGTTAATAAAAATTCACCAGGAGTTTCTTTTTCTAAAGCTTTCATGTTACATATGAAAAAAATTCTTGATCTTATAAAGGATTTGAGATGACATAAAAATTGTCATATAACAGATCAATAAATCACAGTATGCTGTAAAAGAAACAATTTATTCAATATAAATTAACTTTTTATGGGTTATTTAATATAACATAGATACACTGTAAAATTGTCTTTTGTAAGTTCACTATTCTTAATATGCTAGGTTAACAAATGCTAAATGTGTCCAAAAAATGGTGCAGCTGCTTTTGCTCTCTAGATTTATTTTAAATCTTGATAATTAATACTTTGTATTTACAGATAAATAAATTGTAAAACTGTTAAGCTGTAAATACAAGAAATGTTTGTGTTATTAACTTATAAAAAATATTGAAAGGGCATCATGATTAATGTTTACTTTTGTGTGGGTATTTAGAGAATAAGTACTATTTATCTAAGTTGGACTAATATTTTTTAAACATTTCAACTTTGTACACTATAAAAATCCTGGTGAAATCTTTTCAGAGTGAAAATACCACCACCGGCAGAAAACATTGTTAATCCTGTTAAGGGAAAGATGATCAGATATGTTTAGAACTAATTCACAATTTTTTCCCTGAATGAGTTGAGATTGATTTGGCTTTGATCGATAATTTAAAAAAAAAACTTGATAAATGTGTGACAAAGGTGCTGACATTTTGAAAATCAAAAAGTATACCATTATTAGGGTAAAGCGCCAACCTCCTGCATACCTTCACCTTCAGGCCAAAATAATTTTTTTTTTTTTAGCATCTATAATTGAACAAAAGCATTGATCTTTTCTTTTCTTGTAAATTACAAATATATCAATTTTTAAAAAAAAGTTAGCAGTCCATATCCCTTGGATATGGTTCCTTCTTCTGGCGTCAAGCAGTCCCACCTCAGCGGACCACCTGACAAAAAGGCCGTAGGAATATATTCTAAAAATGTTTCAGTTCTCTCGGGTATTCATTTTATACGTACAAAACAATAAATAATTGAACAATTTATTTTAATTTTTTTAAATTTTTAATTTATTTAGTGGCAAAAAATATATATAAGGGAGAAAATTATTACAAAAGAAAAAGTGCTAATAAATAAATTTTTAAGGCGGCCCTCGAAGAAATCTCATGTTCTAATGCGTTCGGGGTTTTGTTCTGGGCCAGGTGATCTGAAATGTGCGTTGAATGCATTGGAAAAGCGCTATTGTGGCCAGAACGTGATCTCAACCATACAACCTGTGACCATGGAGTGAAGGTGAGGGTTCACTTGGGACTGCTGGCACTTTATGTTAATAACGGAATAAAATTAAGAATGTACAAAAATAACATAGACACAATCGTTAATTTTGTTAGCTATATTTAAAGGCAGTTATCGCTTTCTGAATTTTGTTGCCAGAAACAACATTTAATTAAGCATAATTAAAAAACAAATGAGAAAAGAAGTGTTTCTTGCGTAGCAGAAATGTTTTATTAAATGTATGGAAAACAGGTATTTTTATTTAATTTTGTTATATTAAGAACATTGATAATTGATCTGTGTTTAAATGGCATTGTTTTAGCTTAAAAAGCTCAAAATAATAAAATTGCCACTTACCTTATATTTATTGACAGAAATTTGCATTTTGTGTGACGATAATAAAAATGTGAGCACTGCTAGGTGTTAACGTCAAAACAGCCGATTTGTATAATGCCCTAGTTATACGCAGGTAGATCTTTTGGTGCAATCAAAATTTCGATATTGCTTTTTTAAATAAATCAATAAATAGTTTTTTTTGTGTGATTTTCACTTCAGTTCACATCTTACATAGGCCACAATCAGTATCAGTAAGAAATCAGGACCAAATTTGAAATTAATTCGTCCTCTTGTACCTTCAGAAAAGAAATATCACGATTGTCAACCTTGTTAACATGCAACTGTGTAAAAAATATTACTTTTTTATACTTTCCTTAAAACTAATACAAATACATACTTAAAAACTACATAAAGCTTATTTTTTCACTTATTATATTATTATTCTCATCATTCTATTTAAGAGTAATGAAAGGTTTGACTTTTTTTTTCTCACAGCATAGAAAAGTATATTTATATATAAATAGAAAGTGAAAGAGAAAGAGACGTTGCAAAAAATGTAGAGGTATGTAAACGAGCAATGAACAAATACAGTTTGTAACAACTATATTAATTCTGCTAGTTTAAGCTAAAAACTAATTTGTATGCTAAGCTGAACAACCTCTCACATTTGCTGCGATTTTCTCTCCAGTGTTTGTTCCTCATCTAAGTGACTCCAAATCAAAAAATGTTCAGTGTTTTTGTAAACGGGTCCAGTTAGAGAAAAAAAATCATATGGACACAATTAATCAACCGTACCTTCACAATACTCTTGACAAATCTATACGCAGTTAATTACTGGCAGACATTTTTATTAATTGCTGGTGAGATAAAAGTTTGATTAATCATTCCTTAGTTCATGCTATACAGAAGAATGTCTCTCTTTGTATACCCTTCTACGGCATTTTCCTCTATCTGGACTTATCCTAATAATAAGCGGAAAACACCTACAGTGAAATGATTGAATGCCTCTTAGTGCACATAACTATGTGTCTAATGACTCGATCTTTCATTTTCTCATCATCGATCTGGTGGGACCCTCACCGACCTCAAAATTTTACTCGACTGGAACACACAATTTTTATTAATTGACGTTAACCGTGGTTTCTTTTTTGCGTGTGTGTAATATATTACAAAATACCTGATACTCGGATTCACTGTCCATTATTCCGGCTACGGCTACGATCTGATAGTGTTTCGCTTTCATGGCTGATAGAGATTTCCTTATTAACCGCATCACGTTCGGGGCAGTGACTGTGCTTCTTATACCACCCATCTGCATTGGCGAATGACTTGGATCGAGGATTAAAAGATTTTCAGTGCCATCCCTCAACTGTTCCACACCTATGATTGTTCGACTGTGCCCTATTTGGTTTAAAAGTACAAAAAAATAATTAAAACAACTTCTAATTAGAGATTTAATTAATCACTTTTACCTTGATGTTGCAAATAAAGAGGAGGCTTGAAATCATCAAATGCTGAGAAGTAATCAATAACCCATCTGAAAAGGTCCGGGTGGCTTCCACTTACGTGTGTTGGACGATGGAAATCAACCAACTGACACCTAAAATGAGTAATTTGAAAGGATTAAATTAAATTCTTAATTTCATTTTCCATTTTGGCTGGACAACTTTTAAATATTGATTAATCGATATTACAGGCTGAGTCGAAAGTGTATTTTTCCTAAAATACATAAATTGCAAAAAGGCTACTTTTTAGAAGTATGTTTCATAATTTTAAACTTTAACTCCCTGCATTCAGCTTTGAGATATTCACGAACCTTTTACCTTGGAAAATCACGGTTCAAGGTCAGGACAGGTGGTTGTGGTAGAAGAAGGTGAATTCCTTTACATTTACAGAAATTTTTTGCTTTGTAAGTTCAGAAGTGTGCTGCCATTCCGACTTAAAATTCCTTCCTATCACCCAAATGCTGAAATGTTCTCAAAAATTGTCAAAAAAATGCTGAAAATCGTCAGAATTCCTTTCTGAAGAAACTTATGGTTGACAGTTTCTTCATAAGTTAAAAAAAAATTGACAATCATTTTTTAAATTGACTGTAAGTCGGACCCTGTCTTAGAATAAGTTGTTAAAATAAGAACAAAAATAAGTTTAAACGACCATACAAATACGGCTATAAATCAGAAGGGGCACTCTTGACATCCGCTACCAATCTGGGAAACATAATTCTGCAATAATTAAGCAGTTGGTTAAAGGGTGTCACAGCACAGGCAGGAGCGACGTGAAGTTTCTCACAAAACCAGGGGAACCTAGCCCTGCAATAATTACCCAGCTGGTCACAAGAAAAATGAAGGGTGTCGCAGGCCCAGATGGGAAAGACAGGATGTTTCCCACAAATCTGGAAAACAAACATGCAATAGTTGGACAACCGACCAAATTAATAATTAACATTAAGTAATAAATTATTTAGTGCTGAAGGGTTGTCACAAGGCCAAAAATATGTAGCAACGAAGGACATCGTAAATCGAGGTTGTGTCAACCAGGTGTGCAGCACCCGTCTTCGCCTGTCTACCCACGGCTTGGGAACTCCCCTGACTTTTTATTTTCCTTTCCACCCCTACCCCAATAGAGAAGCTGGTCTAAAAAGAGATAATTTGGAAATCAAAAGTGAATGTAGACCAATGGCTCAAACCAGTGAACAGTCGACTCCCAGAGTTGATCAGGAAGAAAATCAGGACTCACCAAGGGGACTCAGCCAGCCAGAGCCAGTGAGGACCAGCCATTGCGACTTATTGGATAAAGTCGACGGTCGAGAAATCAAAAAGGTGCTGATAATGCTGCGGATGCTGATCGAGGCGAGCGTTGTTTTGGGTAAGTCCCTTTGTTAATACTCATCCCAGATTTAGAGTGGCTGACTTATTAGATTAATTAAGATTTTGTTGTAGTTGTGTGCATTTAAAAAGCAGAATTGTGTTTAAATAAATATTTGGGAATATACTCTGTTTTATTAAATTCTCAAACCTTACCAAAAATAAACAGCGAGGCGCCTACACCAACTACTCTCTTATCGCTTAGAGAAAAACAAATATACAGAGAGATCGTTTGAACAGGTGCGCTGTCTCGCTGCTTACACTGCCTTCAAATATGCCTCTATATACTGTCACAGATACCACCAATTCTTTTGATGATACGATCATCAATAGGAATTTTGAAGGAGCAACCAGTCTGTTTCTAGGAAATATTTAGCTTGGTCCTTACTGATCATCTTGGTCTGCCTATCCTGATTGGGTTGATCTGTTAGACACTTTTGGCAGTTTGCCATCTTCAGTGTTGGGTCTGGGAAAATGTGAAAACATGGTAATCTAAATGGGGCAAGGTCTGGGCTGAAAACTGGATGAGAGATATCTTTTAAATAAGACTCCTTGATTTTGAGGGTGTTAATTGATTTGAGTGTGATTATATTAAAATAAGGGTACTTAGTTGTAATTATATTATAAATTAACAGTATTATTATTGTACTGATTAAATTACTGCAATATAAAAATTAATTTGTTATTTTGAACACAACTATTATACATCAATATGTGGTGTTGCAAGTCCCTCTGGTAACCAACTGATGGAAAAAAAATTGTTTCCCCCCCCCCTAACCATCCCTAAAAATTGTATTAATCCCGATATGTATGAAGTATAGTGACAAAATTAAAAGGAAAAGCTTGGAGGGAAGTAAAATAGCAGTAGTTGTGAGAAAGTGCATGTTTTCTGATATTACAACAATGAATAAACCCTCATTTTTCTTTGACTGGGTTTCTCTTTTTTTCTCGCTTATCTTCTTGCACAAGAGCAAGCTGCTCCCATACTGACTTCCAGTTGAGAACTTAAATGCAAAAGTTGCCTCGACTCAAAAGAATAAAACTGAACAGATGATGTTCTACTGAACTACTTAAAATACTACTTGACAACAGATCGCAACTCTCACTATAAAACAAAGGATGTATGGAATTGAACTGTAACAAGCTTTCCAATCTCCAAAGAATCTAATCAATCCAGGCCAAAATCTTTCGAAAAATTGATCAAGCTCCTTTCCTTACTATCTGCAAATCCCATTTGTTCTCGAAAATGAAAGAAGTTGATACAGACGTCTCCAAAAAACCCTAGATCCTCATCCCAGCCATATTCCAACAACTTTTATCCTGAACCCTTCCCTGACAATTCTCTAAATCACCTAAATCATTGATAGCCTCACAATTTCCTTGGGTCCCCACAAAATTAATAGGGGTGTAACTAATGGGTTACTTCTCCACCCCTATAACAAAATTGCTTGTTGCACTCTTTTACTCATCAAGGTATCACAATTATTTAAGTTATTTTTCTAGATTTAATAGTTTGTATAATTGAAATATGCAAAGTTAAAAATTAATATTTAGATTAAAACACAACATATTTTAAAAGGATTTAGTACAGCGGCATATCTAGCCGATCGTGGGTTCGAATCCTGCTTGCGACACAGACGTTTTTATCTCAACTAAAGACCTTAATTAAATGAAAGATTGGTCAAGCGGATCACGAAACTAGTGAATTTAGTACAAACTTGTCTTTAAATTTTACCATTATTTAAATGATTCCTTAACTAAACGTAAATATGTATAAGGAACATATAACACATATCAATAATAAAATTGTTACCTAATTCTAAGCGATGAAAGTATTGTGACCACTTCAGTTGCACCGATCCATTTCCTCGTATTTACAAGTTTGCCACCTAGCTGGTCAGCACCTTGAGTGTCAAAACCCTGACTCCAGGCCCATTCGATGTGCTGTTGTAGTCTTGAAATTGATGGCATCGCACTCCTCGACGGTAATTCAAGTGCGCTGCCTCCTATTCGGCTACCTAGCATCCACTGTTTATAGAGCTGTTCATTGTAGCCGGTATGGTGAACAAGTGACGAGAGCATCATTTGAGTATTCCTTAAACATTTAATTTTGAACTATTTGTTTTCCTTTTTTTATATTATATTTCACATACCGATATCCACAACCCCAACCTCTATCACCGTAAGTAGATGCGTAATGATCGACTGTAGTGCAAAGCAAAGTCCTAGCTATGGTGCTGGAACTCCCACTTACTGCTGCTATGTGATCCACTATGTCTAAAACCACATGAAGTTAGGTTAATTAGGTGATTTTTTTTATTATTTTTAGTTAAATTTCCCTACCTTTGGTACATGAACTACCATCATCTACACCTGTGGTTTCGGCCATTCTGAGTTCTATCTGCCTTTCATAATAATCCGCGACTGAAAGTTCACCGGAATAAACTGCTCTCTGCATATTTGTTAAGCTTTGCTCTTTGAAATTACCTTCATTATCCATGCCATACTGTGCCTGCATGGAAAAAAAAGTTATAACATTTTTATATAACTGACAAGAACAAATACAAGAAACAACAAAAAAGTCCATGTATAGAAAATTTTCTTATCAATATCTTATATTAATACTTTGGGGTAGTTGTCATCATTCCAATTTATTTATGGTAGGTTAACAATTAATTATTAGAATAACATATAAATATATAAATTATATTATTAAATAAAATTCTTGATATATTTGTAATTTATAAGAACATATTTATTTGAAATCGCACAAGGGCTATTTACCTATTTTTTAATTGGTAAAAATATTTTAACAGGTGATAAAAATGTTGCCTCTTAAAATGCACTAAGATTTAAAAATTTAAGAATCATTCTACACACTAATACACAATCGTGTAAATAGTCCATAATTGAAATTGTAAAAATTAAAGATGTACGTTCTAACATCAAATTATGACAACTAGTCTTACCAAAAGTGACTGCATTTTTTCTGAAATAACAAAGTTAACAAATTTAGAAATAAATAACATTAGATTTGGAATGAATTTGAAAAGGTTTCCGAGGTGTGTAAAAGGAAGTATTACATGAAACGAAAAATTTACGGACAACCAAACTATTGACAACAAACCAAATTTAACATATGAAAAAGTTGTGAATAATTTATTTGTGGAATTGGAAACAATTTCTTGAACATTTTATCTTCAGTTAATGCTTTAAAATTAACTTGCTACAATGGTATAGCTCATTTGTGAAGAAATATATAATGAAAGTGTATTAAATAACCTAATCCTAAAATATATATTCTGATTTAAAATGAAATATTCCACCCACCCGACTTGATTTGTAAGAAACTTGGAAACAGGCTGTGCTACTGTATTAGAAAACAAAAATCTAAAAGTTTGTCTTTTAAATAAAGTAAAAACATGAAAATAAAGTTGCCGTTAAAACGCCCTTAAAAATTAATAATAATAATAAAGTTACGTTATGGTAAAGTTACTTATAATAATTAATACAAAAAAACAAAAAAATTACCCTCAAAAGTTCAAATTCATGTTGCTCCCTCAATCTTTGAATTTCTTTATCCCTTTTCTCCATTTCTTTTGCGAGAAGTCTATCACAAGAGACATCAGGAGTGAGGGGTGATATGCCTAAAACAAAAGGAGGAAAAAATTCAATACGAAAATCAATTAACATGACCAAAAACAACCTTATAAAACAATTCATCCAAGCTGGAGTAGTCAATTCTATTTTTTGGAGATGCAAGCCAACTTTATTTTTTTTTTTCAAAATAGATAATATTGTAAAAAAAGTGTTATCATTATGTAAAAATTAATTTAGTATTTATTCTTGTTACAAATTTTTTTCTCTCTAGAACTGGATACCATCTAAGTCTACACGTACATTTATGAACTATAAATCTTGAACATCTTTCCAGTGGAAACAATAACACAAGTTTCTTAAATTATTAATATATCTAAACAAATCAAGGTGAAGAAATATTAAAAAAAGGCAGGGATAGGATCAATGAGAAGTAAAAAAAAAAAAAAAAACTTTTTTTTAAAGTAGAGTGAATAGAGGTGAAAAACTTAAAAGCGTTCAATTTTAGTGGCCAAAGTTTTTGTAGTCAAGTATATAAATTAATTATATAGAGAATTATATCCAAACACAAGAAATTTTTTCAAATTTTGCTCTAAAATAGTAATCTTTTTTTTGTCAAAATTTCTCGCTAGGTTTGCCTGTCAAACCCATATTGCCAGGTCCACTGGTCAGTGGTTGGGACTGTACTATTTGGTCAAGTATGCCCTCAGAATGGCAGTTCAAGATTATCTATCGAGCAATGTATAAGAAAATTTTTCAATTCAGTTTGTATTTGAACTATGTATGATGCAGATCAAGATTACACATTGTACATGACAACTCAATGAATAATGCTCACAAAATAAAAGTTTAATTTTAAAGATATCCTGTAAATATTAAAGACCTTGCCCCATCCAGATTACCATGTTTTCTCATTTTCCTAGACCGAACACTGAATTAAAAGATAAATATTGCCTGGAAACAGACTAGTTACTCCTTCAAAAATTCCTTTGATGATTGTATCATCGAAAGAATTGGTTTGTAGACAAAAAGCATATTCAAAGGTAAGGTTAATTAATAAAAATAATATAAAAAAAAGAGAACATTTTGAAGAAATTTCAATCATAATTTTTTCCTGAAAGTCATTCAATTTGTAGAAAGCTTGACTGAATAGGAAGAAATTTAAGTCAGAACGGCAGCAAAATTCTAAAGTTACAAAGCTATAACATTCCGAAAATGTATGGAATCGAGCTTCTACTGCACCCACCTGTCCCAACCTTGCACCCTCAGAGTACTTCTTTTCAAGCAATCTCCTACTTCCTCGAGGGAAAAATGATTCATAGATTGCATGCCGTTAAAACTGGAGTAGAAGACTTAGTTCTAAATGGAAATAGTGTTCCAGCCAGGGAATCAATACACATGGCAATAAACCATCGAGTAAGATGTAAATATAAAATAAATTTAATTTTAACTATTAATACAGTATTTTTTATACTCATCCTAATGCCATGATTTAAAAATTTACATTTATTAAAGATTTTTTAGTTTTAGTGGTTAAAGTTTTGAGAAACAGGCTCAGCTGATGTAAGTATAATACTGAAACATTTAGTTCAAGTTTGCTTCAGTTTAATAAACCATTGTTTAGACTCTTATTATTTATTTTAAAAAAATCATAAACGCTCAAGCAAATAAATTGATTAATTTAGCCAAAAGAAGATAGAATGTTTATATTAAGAATTTTTTTGTCGTATTACCAAAGTGTTTAGTAACAAATTTAACAGGAATCGCAACAAACCAATTAAGTTTCCATGCTTTTTTCCCCCTATTCGAAAGTTTTATTATTTTAATTTTATAATAATCTGTTTTAACTTTTATTATATTAATTACACTTTAAATTGATCATCTTTGGTTCTTTAAAGCAATAAATGAATAAAAAAGACATTATGTCGCATTCCAAAAGGTAGCACAAAGAAGGGCAAAAACCATTTTTCTTGCATGTTCTTTATAGTGGAGTCTCACTGAATTATTAAATAATGAACTACCTTTAGGGTTGAAATGTTCATCTATGTGTTGAGCAAGTTCATCTGTTGTCTTGAAGTTGGTCATGCAACAAATTGGACATTCATTTGTATTTGTTTCTCTTGTTAAATCTTGCATGGGCTGGAAATAGAAAATCAATTAATGATTATGATTAAAAAAAAAAAAAACGGATAAAATAGTTCAGAATATTACCTTGGCAGGGCTGAGTATATCTTTGTGTTCGATATTAACATGCAATTCCAGGTCTGGAGTGTTTTCAAACGTTTTAACACACAGAGGGCAGTTGTATAAATTATAAGGCTTAACAGGTGAATCTGCCGATACGGATGGGCTCGTGAGGTCGAAATGTTGTCGGTTTATGTGTTCTTCAAGGTGAGTGACATTATCAACTTGGAAAGAACACAGTGGGCATTCGAACATAACATATTTCTGTTTAGGCAGTGAAGACGAGGTGCTTGAGCGGAGGTTTAGAGCGAGCTGAGACCTCTGGGGCGAGCTCCAGGCAACAGAATCCCCATTCTTTTTCCCTTCCTTATCGTCGTAGTAAGAGTCAATGTTGTTGTTGTTATTGTTATTATTGTTCAGTCTGTGGCTCTCTTTCGGCAGCCAACTTTCCGAAATGGGGCTGCACATATCATCGCTGTCGTCTATGAACGTCATGATCTCTTGCTCGGGAGTGAGGAAGTCCAGGTGGGTCGTGTTGACATGGACCAACATATCTTCTTCGGTCTCAGTGGGAAGACTGCAGTACGGGCAGGCAACGGAATTCTTGACATGGTTTATCATAACATGGACCCTCATCTCTTCGTCTGTCAACCCTTCCACACCGCATATCTCACAACAGTAATTTAAATCAGGTACCTTCGCGGCCATATCACAACCTTGACTAGATTTGAGACGTTGGAATGGTTAATTCCAGTTGATGGAATCTAGGCTACCTCAGACGAGATTTTTCAGAAAATTTAATGGAAATTTGCATGAACAATTTAAAAGGGGGCTTACTCATTTTAATCACCTCGCCTACCCCTTATCTATTTCCAACCACCTCTAAGAGGTTAACAATATTTTTCTCCTATTAAACTTAAACTCGTACACCTCTGGGCAAGAATTCATTTCCTCTCTTTACTTATTTGTTTACGCCGCTTTTTTTAAAGGTTAGTTTAAATACTTGCAAAATCAATAGAGTTGAGATAAAACACTTTCATCCTCACCACCTTCCTTTATTCACTCGGGGGTAGTTTTTTTGACGACGACTGTTACCCTTACCGCAACCCCCGGCTCGACTTTTATCAGCCACCCCTTCCAATCTACATCCTGACGGCAATGTCCACCTTCCGACCTCCCGCCAGGTTCAATTTACTTTCAATATTGCTGAATCGTTGAATAAACATAAATTAATTGTTATTCCCCAGATGCAATTAGTTTTTGGGTAAATAACTAAAAAGGAACAAAAAAGAAAAGCCTACACAAGTTGAATGCCTATCCAAAAAAAAAAAAAAAAAAAAAAAAAAATTGTGCTGTCTAAATCTTAAATTGCTTTACATTTTTGAGCAGTTGAAAAAAAGTTTTTTCTTTATTTTAGTATAAACGGAAAAATCTATACATATTTTGTGTGGTGTTTAGTGACCGTTAGCCAATGATTATTTGGAGATCGTGAGATGCGGTCTGATGTGGCATACGTTTTAGAAAAACATTTTCTTTATTGTGCCAACGTTTCGATCTTTATTGAGATCATCTTCAGGGCCTGGGATTTATAAACATTGTTTAAATTTTACAAATACATCTAGGATGTGAAAAAAATGAATTTATACAATACTAGAAAATTGTTTAGATAAAAAAAATGAATTTACACAATACTAGAAAATTGTTTAGATTAAAAAAAATGAATTTATACAATGGTAAAAAATTGTTCAGATTAAAAAAAAGAATTTATACAATACTAGAAAATTGTTTAGATAAAAAAATGAATTTATACAATACTAGAAAAAATTTTATATAAAAAAAAATGAATTTGTACAATGTTAGAAAAATTTTTAGGTTAAAAAAATAGAATTTCACAATACTAGATAATTGTTTAGATTAAAAAAATGAATTTATACAATGCTAGAAAAAATTTTAAATGAAAAAAATGAATTTTGCAATACTAGAAAATTGTTTAGATTAAAATAATGAATTTATACAATACTAAACCATTTTTTAGATTAAAAAAATGAATTTATACAACACTAGAAAATTTTTTAAAATAAAAAAAATGAATTTACACAATGCTTCCTACATGCATTTGTAAAATTTAAACAATGTTTATAAATCCCAGGCCCTGAAGATGATCTCAATAAAGATCGAAACGTTGGCGCGATAAAAAAAATGTTTTTATAAAACCTACGTCACACCAGACTGCATGTCACGACCTCCAAATAATCTATACATATTGTGGAATTTCTTATTGTACCTCTCTTTGTTTTTTTTTTGTACCTGTGTTTCTTAGTGACCTGTTGTTTCATAATTTGTTGAAGTCATGAGGAGGGGCCAAGAATAAGGTAGTCTAAAAAACACCTTTTTCATTTTTTTACCGACGTTTCGACCGTTATTCGGGTCATCTTCAGGGCCTGGGTAAATTACAAACATACGTTGATTGGAAAAAATACGATTCAAGTTTTAAATATACATTTTGAACCAAGTGTTTCATACTCACATAAAATATGGTGTATTCTTGTGGTGTCATGTTGGTTTTGTGTGTGTTGTTACAAAAATACAGAAAATTGTATTCTGCTGTTTTTATATGATTGTGACAGGGTGGGGTAAGCGGAAAATTTGGGAAATTTTCTGTGATCGCAGGCGGTTTTATCCAACTCAAAGGAAGTCGTGAATGGGGATTTTCTGGATTGGATTTGTGATTCGGCATTCAATATAGGAATGGAAGTTAATTATTAAGGACAATAACGGGAAAAAAATACAAACACAACTTTCTAGAAATGGTTTATATTAACAGATACACCCAGCATTAATTACATAACTGGGAGACCAACGATGGTTGGCGACTCTCCTCAAGGCATGATATACAGTGTATAATGTAAATATGTAAATAACCTCAAATTACGTGATGTATATTTTTTTTAATGTTGGTAGTAATAAATAAAAAACAAAAAATACCGAACAGATACATGCAACCACAGCTACACTAACGCCATAAAGCAAATAAACTATTAAACCTTATTTTTAGATGTCCCATTCCTTCGTTATCGGCCTTAATAATTAGCTTGCTTTCCAATATCACAAATCCAAGTTACTTGTCTACTCAAAACACACATTATTATTATCTGTGTGGTGTTTAGTGACCGTTAGTTGATGTTTATTTGGAGATCGTGAGATGCGGTCTGGTGTGACATAGGTTTCAGAAAAACATTTTCTTAGAAATGATGAATGATGGAGTGAGTGCGGTGTTCAATCCTTTTTTTTTTTAGAAAAGATAGTTCCTACTCATAGTAAGTTGTTTTCCAACGATCCGGATTTCGAGCCCTTAGCTCATCATCAGGTTGAAGGATTTCTAAAACCACATCTCTCGACGTGAATTGCAAAAGTGCCCTAACCAACCCTAAACATTTTCTATATCGTGCAAACGTTTCGATCTTTATTGAGATCATCTTGAGGGCACAGAGTGTTTGTTTTCTGTGTAGATGTGTCATTATTGTGTGTCGTGTTGAGTGACATCTAAACAGAAAACAAACACTTTGAGCCCTGAAGATGATCTCAATAAAGATCGAAACGTTGGCACGATAAAGAAAATGTTTTCTAAACCTACGTCACACCAGACCGCATCTCACGATCTCCAAATAATTATTATCATCTCAAATAATTATTCTTTTTATCTAAGATCTTGGTTGAGATGAAAAAGCTAGTGTCACGAGCGGGATTCGAACCCACGACCTTCGGCTAACCGAATCCCGCTCGTGACACTAGCTTTTACATCTCAACCAATACCTTAGAGAAAAATAATAATTAATTGAAATTATATGGTCAATTATGGCCGCTTGAGTGAACCTTTAATTTTATCCTTATAGACCATATTAGTTGATCTAATCTATCCAGGGAGATCCATCGCTCACAGACAAAACAGAACACAGGACGCCAAAATAGACACTCCAGATTCGAATACAGGGCTGCTGGATTCCAACCCGGGACTTTTACCTTACAATGATGAGCGCCATGTCAACGCCTGAACCACCACCCCAAAATTTGAAACTTTAGGTTAGACTCATTTTAAATAAATAACTTAAAATATTTATGGATAACAGTTTTGAGTATATTCTAAATAAAAGTCGTTAAATGGTTTTTCGAATAAGTTGTTCAGGTCGTCTCATGTTAGTATTATTCAGCTGGCACCCGTTCGTTTAACTGAGGATTTCTTCAGGCTTGACTTCTTATCCGCCAATTTTGGCGTGTTTCGCATTGAATATTGAGTCGGTTCCATTTTGGCCGAGATTTTGTTGGAGTCGCTTTTGGATGGTAGCAACCTGGCGGGCAAGCCGCTGGTCAACTTCGTTGGGACCATGTTCTTCCTCAGAGCGTCGGTCGACTTTTCCAAACCGACCCTCTGAGCTTTTGACTTTGCTGGAATCGAAGAATCGACATCGCGAAGAATCTGCAAAACGTCTTCTTTTTTCATTATATTTTTAATGGGGCCTCCCAGTGGTTTTTTCGTCTTAACCGGCGGAAGTGGGTTCCGAGCGTCGAAAAGCTTGGCCGTGTTTCCAGCTTTTGGAGTTTTGACAGGTTTCCTGCCGGAAATTTCTTTCATCAGAGTGTCTACAGGGAACTTCCTGCTGGCGCTGAATCTTTCTTTCAAAGCCGCGGATTTGGCGTCTTCTTCTCTCATCCAATCCGTAACTCTCTGCTTCGCTTTGAGGAGTTGTTCGTCGATGTGATCTGGCGTTTTGGGACCCCCGACAATCTTTTTCATCTCGGCAATCTTCTTCCTTATGTCGACGTCTTTACCAATCACTTCTTTTCCACCTTTGCCTTTGTCGAGCCTGATTTTGGCCGGTTTTTTGACAGACGACACTGGGGTCATATTCGCCATGGTATCGGCGAGGGCGTCGAAATCCGAATCTGAACCAGTTTCTGAACCGCTGTCCGATGTGTCGTATTTGGTTTTGACTGGTTGCGTTTTCGTTGGCTTCGTTTGTTCCTTACTGACCAACTTTTTTGAACTTGCCTTACTCTTTCGAGGTTTTGTGGTGTCCTCTACAAAACTCTTTTTATCACGCGATCTATCCTTCGTCTACAAAACAAAAAGTTTACAACCGCTTACTCACTAAAATAACATTTTAAAATTATATCAAAAACTACAGGGAACACACTTCAGATTTCATTTTTTTCATGAATTCTGCTATACGTGATGTCATAATTTCTTGGCCGTCCCCTTCACCTTTGCTAGATTTTTTCGTCGACATTTTATCCCTTAATTTCTTGTCGTACAAGTTTAAAAGCTGTTCTTCATCACTCGTTTTTAACTCAATGTCAGAATCTAAAACGAAAATTCAATCATTAAAAACGCTAAAGACACAAGACAAGTTTAGTCAAATTGTCTTGTTGGTGGACCAACTCTAGTAACTCAAATAATTACTTTTGTCATCATCGCTCTCCGATGATGAGAAATCGAGAGGTTCTGCTTTGAAATCGATCTCATCATCTTCAGAAGAGGTGCTCTCTTCGAAGTAGCCGTCGTGCAGGTCATCAAGGTTGCCCTTATTCTTGCTGTTGCCTGCTCTATCAGCCCGTACGTATGACTTTTGAAGGTCCTCTTCCTGGGAATCACCCGAGGACATCGTGCACTCCTGAGGACAAAATGGAACAAATAATTAACAATAAATTTGATGAAACTAAGTTAATTGGTCAAATGTTGTCATGTGTGCGAATACGTATTTTGACTAAGTAGTCAACGTAAGTTTGATCGTATACATTAGAAGTTCAGAAAGAGGTAAACATTTCTTTTTTGTCAATTGTGAGATTACTAGTTTGATCGTCTTGATAATTTTGGACTGCCAATCTTCAAGTTTTGGTGTGTCAAATTGTTTCTGTTTTTTGCCATCTTCAAAAATCCGTCACGGTTTTAAGCAAGGCGAGAAATTTGGAAAAGCCTAGTTTGCCAAGTTTGCAAAATATTTATATATTAATTTGAATTTTTAATACGGAAATTAAATTAAATGTTCTGTTATTACTTTTATTCGTCATACCTCTCTTAACTGATTCTCATTAAATATTATGAGTCAGACACAATTTAGTATTTGTCACATACTTTAATTATTAATCCATTTATATTTTAATGGTCAATGGACCAAGTTACTTCTTTCAATTAATTATTTTTTTTATGTAAGGTCTTGGTTGAGATAAAAAAGCCAGAGTCACGAGCAGGATTCGAACCCACGACCTTCGGCTAAATACACCGCTGCTATACCACTTGAGCTATCGTGACTTAGATCCTCTCGGACACCAACTCTTCGATCACATCACAACCTACAACTATTCGAATTTTCCCTCTTTTTGCCGTTTTCAAACGTCGTGTAGTTAGGATTCAAAATACTCAGCAACTTATGAAGTGGCCACTGGCAAAAAGTGGGAAAATTCGAACGGATATATGTTGTGATGGAGAGTTGTAGTGTCTGAGAGGTTCGAAGTCACGATAGCTCAAGTGGTAGAGAAGCGGCGTATTTAGCCGAAGGTCATGGGTTCGAATCCTGCTCGTCACTTTTTATCTCAACCAAGACCTTACCTAAAAAGAATATATAATTATTAAGTTAAAACAGCGCTAGAGCGCTACAAGCAAGTGTCTTGTTTTTATTGAATTTTAGTTTACAAGAGAGGAGAAGTAACCGATTAGTTACGTTCCTATCACGAGAACTATTCACTTTTCTCACTAGGAAAGAAATGGTGAGGCTACTGGCGTCTTAGGCATCTAGGAGGATGGTCGGAAAGGATTCGGAATGAAAGGTGTTGAACTAGGGGATTGGGGTGAGGGTGAGTTGAAGGTTTGTATGGTTAGTATGATTGGATTATGATCTTGGACAATGAAGGATTTTTGACTGGATTCTTTGTAGATTCCAGTCGTTCGGATTAGTTATAAATGACGCGCTTGTTCTGTAGTGAATTTTCATTTATTGTAAAGAGTATTTTAGTTTATATCCTCTGTTTAGTTTTATTCTTTTGAGTCGAATGTGGGAGTTCCAAGTCTTTTGTAGTCGCTAAGTCCCAAATAATTGTCAAAATTGGTTGCTAGGAGAGGCAAAGGGTTGTAGTAAATAGGAGAGGTGTGAAGTTATTTGCTGGGTTTTGGTTTCGTGAAATCTGATTCTCCATTTCTAGAACCATTTTCCAAACAAGAAAGATGGTCCTGGAAATTTGTGAAGGGCACTACTGTGTCTTGAGTTTGCTGAAAAAAAGTCTTCATATGTGAAAGTACTGCATCGGGAATGATAGATTGCAGTGTAAACTGAATAGAGAATGAGATTAAGGAAGCTGCCTTGCAGAACACCCAATTCGGCATTGTGAATACAATACAAATAACATTATAGCAAAATACATAGTTTAAGGTTATAATTTTGGTTTAATTTTCTCTAATAAGAATTTAATTTTCGGAGATATCTCAAAAGAACAAGTTATGTGAAAAAGGCAAGAAATTTCTTGATTTAATCTTAGAGTTATTTGTAAAGGTTAAACTTAACACCACTAGTTTTCGTGGTCCGTTTGACCAATTAATTAAAAAAGGCAAAAAGGAGGGAAAATTCAAAAAGGTGGGGTTGAGATGGGAAGTTGGTGTCCGAGGTCACGATAGCTCAAGTGGTAGAGCAGCGGCGTATCTAGCCGAAGATCGTGGGTTCGAATCCAGCTCGTGACACTGACTTTTTTATCTCAACTAAGAACCTTAATTAATTGAAAGAAGTTAAACTTAACTTTTCAAACCTAAAATATTTTTGGTAACTTGGATCTTTATGGTGTTGAATGTGGGGAATGTGAGAATATGTTTTCTACAATTCTAGTCAGAAGCTCAAAGATAAACTATTTGCAATCCATTTTTAATCCTCATCCAAACATAAATGCACAGCAAGTAATTCATATCTCCGTACACCTCTTCCTCCTCATGTCCCTTTCAAACTTTTTCAGATGAAAAGAAAGATTTCTGATGCTAATTACTACATTCACAAATCCCTAAGTAGAAAATCTTTTAGACATGACCCAATTGACTTAGAACCTATAATCAGGAGGCCTTAGAATTTTTAACCACTATATACAATGACATTCTACGTACCGCTCACTTTCCTCCCTAATGGAAGTATTAAGTAGTCATTTCTAAAGATCCCAAACCTCCCAAGTACAACTCTCCTACAGACAAAAAAACTTGCTACTCCTTTTAAAACATTTAACATTCATCCTTGATTCACATTGAATCATTCCTTCTCACTAATTCGGCTTCGGTCCCTATCATTCCACAATCAGCAAAGCTTCAAATACGTTGACAATATCTCCTCCGCTCTCGACAACAAAGAGTAGTGCTTGGGTTCCTGGACGTGGCCTATGCTTTGATAAGGTCTGGTTCCTCAAAATAAAATAAATATATGTATGCAATAAGGAATATCGATCAATACAAGCCGGCGTCTCACAGGGGAGCATTCTTGGTCCCATCCTGATATCATTTGTACTGCTGACTTTTCTACACATCCCAATACTATCAATGCACCCTACTCGGATGACATCGCAATTCTGCATTCAAACCCAAATCCTGTCCAAGCAGCCTCCATCGTTGAATTTATCAAACGTGGGGAACAAAAACTGAATGAGGACAAATGTATCAAGTAATTATATAAAAACACTTGCCCTCCACTGCACATCAATAACAAAGAGCTACAAACTTCCACTCAATTCTGTTACTTAGGACTACACCTACCAGACAGCAGACTGACATGGAATCCTTCATACAAAGCTTACGAGACTACATGTTAACAGAAGACTCGAACAAGTACGAAAACTTTTAGAACCAAAATCTGTTTTGTCTGCCAAAACTCAACTCTGTACAAGACATGCGACCAATCTGGTCATACGGAGTGGGACTGTGGGCTTCCACTAGGCCATCCAATATTCAGCGCATCCAAGCAAAAGTCCTCAAACAAATTGTCCTTACTATGTCACTATCCACAACACTCTCGACATTCCTTTTGTCAACGAACTGATCCGATCCCGCTTCCGAAAGTTCCACACCAAGGCTTTGATCCATAAACGACGTTAGCCTTGAGTCCTCCTCGCCCTTTATCACTCATGTTGAATGCCGGAGTTAGTTTTTCCTAACAGTGTCCGAGTGCAGTGCTGGCCATAGTGTCGTCGTAGCCGGAAGAATAAAACCATATAAGCATATATTTTTTACATGTAAAGGCTATAAATAATTTTTACATAAAAAGAAAAAACGAAAAGAAAGTTACAAAGCTAAATACAATACAATACTGTCTTCGATTGAAAAGTGATTATGAAAAGTTGTCTTACAAAAATAAACCTACGAAACCTACTTTAAAAACTAATATTCTTTTTCTTTTTATTAAATGTATTTGTATGATTTACCTTGTTGAACGACCACAAAATAAATAGAATGAGACACGACCCGGGCCTCACCGAGAAAACATGGACTGATATTTATAAATAAAACATATGCGTGCCGAATTGGCAAAATGAAGAAAACAATAAACAATATGAAACATTTATGTTGTTCTTTTGATGAATTAAAATCTTTGAGCATCTTCGAAACATGTTCGACTTGTAAACACGGGGATGTGGATGAAGTACGGAGTTGAGAAACTTGCGACTTCTTTTCTTTTCGTCTTTACACAAGTACGATCGACAAAAAAGGTTCAATATTATAACCAAAATGTATAATTATTCAATGAAAAATTTAATCGATGTTGACTTTATTTTTATTTATTTTTTAAAATCAGGCAGCACTAGACTTAATTTTAGAAAATGGCAGCTGATTGTAGTACTTTTATAAATAACTTGTTAAATTTGTATTTTTTCAAACAAATGACTTTTTCTCACCCTCACGTTGTAAAAATGGTTTTTCAATTTTTCCTTTTTTTGTATCAAAGTTAGGGTAATTGGGCCCCTAAGACTGACAAAACGCTTTGGTAATAAAACGGGGTTCTAAAAGCCGTACTCATCAGACATAAATTTGGTTTAAGATGGTAGAAATTATCTATGTTTATGGGGAAAATACGTCCGCATTTGTGCACTTTTCTCAAAAACTATTTAATCAATGAGAATAACATTTTATACGTGTTTGTTGCGAAAATGTGTGACGAACAGTGGTCGCTATCAAAATAGTTCTATTTCAAGTACATTTAATTTGAGAAAAATTTGACATTTGGAAAAAGATATGTCGATTTTTCTAACTTGAAATTTTTTTTTCTACCGCAACTCCCATTGATTGTACAATCTTTTAGACATAAATGTTCTAAAATGTCTATTTAATGATTCTAAAAATTCAATAAAAATAGAGAAAAGTGCACCTTTAAGTGTTAAGATATGCTTGTGACAGTCTCCTCGGAATCGAACCGAAAAATATCAAAATGGAGCACCAAAGCCAAAAGGAAATTGGAGGATATCTGCTAGTAAGATAAAGGTTTCTAAAAAATAATAAATCAATAAAATAAGATTGGTTGTATTTTTTAATATGGCTAATAATTTTATTTTTTAACATAATTTCAAAGACAAAATATTATGACGAGAAAAAATTTAATAAGGATATTAAAATGCCAAGTTAATGATATCCCCCTCGATGTTCTTGTTTCTTCTAAAGCTAAGAAAGCTAACTTCAAACAAAAAATCCTTAATTAATTAAATTTTTTTTTAAACACCACTATACCCAAAAAAGCCTAAAGCTTAAAAAAAATCTTCTGGTTTTGTCTTCCATTAAATCATAAACAAAATATATTTTCAAATTCTTTAAGTTTAATATTTCCAATATATGCAACATTGTATACATTATTTTTTTTATTATGATGTATAAATAGTACATTTTGTGATACTGCCAATTTACATCCAAATTTGTAACAATTTTTCGCGCTGATCTTTGCACCGAGCAAATCGTGTCTTTCACGAGCATGAACAAAGAATAATGCCTGAAACTTAATAATTCAATTAAAAAATTGTGAACTGACCCAAATAAACCAAAACAGTAACGTTTGAAAAAGTTTATTTAAAATGAAATAGAAATGATCACATTGGCATATGTTCCTCCTTGACACTCAAAGAAAAACAAGATGTGCCCCCCCTACAAAGTTGAGCAAAACGTTCTTCCTTTTCTTTTCGTGTTTCAGCCAGCTCTGCCAAAGTCTCCGGCTGGAGGATTAACTTATCCCGATCCAACGAGGATAATCCTTATTAAAAATAAATGTTATAAGAAAAGAAGTAATGAGTGTGAACATCCCAATGATCGAGTTTCTAGTTGATGAACCAATGCCACGTTTTAAGGACATTTGAAACTCCATGTACCATACTTACAATTTTAAATTTGGAATTTTGTCTTTTAAGACAAAAACTACCTACAAACTATCATTATTTCATCCTGGTCTGCTTGCTGCTTTAGTTTGTCAGACGCGTTTTGTCATTTTGCCATCGGGGTTATAAACTGGTCCAGGCGAGATACCGTTCCATTCTTTTTTATGCAAATTTTACCTGGATCAACTTTATTCAAATTTTTCAAAATTATTAAAGGAGTTATAAAAAAGATTGCCGGTCTGCTAATTTATAACCGATCGTGTCTCAATAAGAAATGTGACTATATAACAATTGCTGAATCGTATATATTTTTTAGGATTTAATGGGAATTAAAGATTCAGGAAAGCATGAAGTTTGAGCTTTAAACAATAAAATTTATCAAAACGATAGCTAGTTGTAGAGGACAAAACGTTAAAATAAACAAGACATCACAGAGATGAAAGTACACGAGGAATTTTATAGTTTGAATGTTATAACGTTAATAAACTAAATTTTTTTATTACAGGCATATAAAACGACCAGATGCTACCACGGTATCGTTTTTCTTTCTCGAATTTTCTTCCCTCCTGATTTCCTGAAAATAATGTGCTGTACAGACGGACAACACCCGCGGACATTTGCTGGACTTAACCAACACGTTCAACCACAGTTAAAACCAAGGAGAGAAACAGAAGTTTAAAAATGTGCTCAATCATGAAAACAAGCATAAATTAATATTGTAATTGTTATTCAAAGAGGAGAATCACTCAGGTGGTATTATTATATACAACACATATTTTATAAAAGGACACTATTGACAATATGACATATATATCAATGAGTGAATATGGCAAAGCAGATGACCGTCGTCTTTGACCGTCGGCAGCATAGAGCGCACATATGTGTGTATTGTGATCGGGAACTATGCGGCAGGATCTTGCAGAGGCTTTCAAGTGGAAATTACTGTGGGATCGATACGGTTTTTGTAACGCACCCGGTACCAAGGCGAGAAAGATTGATGTTCATGAGTAATATTGTTTTAGGCTTTATGCTTATGAGTGTGGGCCATTATTACTATAGAGCTTGAAAGACCGTATATCTCATCTAAGTTTGATGGAGGAGTTGATCATCCAGGATCAATTTTTTGAAGTTTCTTCGTCGCACACCGTCACCGACTTATACGGCGTTGATCCATCAACCAAGGAAGACTTGGCGGGACTTGATTGATGGTTTGGCCCTAGTTGATGCCAGAGTTCGTCAGGTCGCAGCACGATCACCGTCTGGGATTTAACAGCGGTGGGGAGAATGGTCTGGGAATAGTAGAGTGTAAGACTCGTTCCGGTTCAGAGTGAAAGTGTTCTTCAGATGTACTGCGTTCACTCCAGCGGGAATGGCCTTTTACAGCCGAAACCCGTTCAAATTCATTCAGGTGCTAGTCTAGTGGCGGCCGGTTCCGATTCCGCGCGTTAAACAGCCTGTCGTCAATTTCTTTTTAGAAAATTTCAGCAGTAGCCAAAGGCACAACACTTTATAGGTGAGTTGCAACAAATCTTAAAACACAAGTATAAATTTTTTTTTAAACATAAAACAGCAAAAGGAAAGTAAATTGTCGAATGACACTTAACATGACACGTATGTTGTTAGGGGTCACAACGGGATTCTTTCTTATACACTTTCGTTCAACGACGAAAAAAAAGATAAGATATCCGGAAAGATAAAATTTTAATTGGACTATACTTTCCTATTAGACCATTCGGATTTTCATATTGATGAAACCGGACGAAGGATAAGGTATAGCGATTTGTCTGTATAATTTTATTATTAAAACACAATACGTGCAAAAGGAGAAAGTTTTGACATTTTGGAATATGACAAGCAAATATTAAACATTTTTTCCTTACAAAAGAAAAAACGAGTACTTAATACTTAACTGAATTTTCGACCTGAGCATTACAATTTTGATAAAAATATATCATCTCATCCATGATGGGTGTATTCACTATTGAATAAATAAATAGATTAAAACAAAATGTCAGTTAGTTGGGAAAATAAAGCGTTGGTTGTGTAAAGCTCTTTTGTTATTTAATTATAAGGTGTGAACTTTGAATATTTTAGGATAGTCGATTTGTTTTGTCAATAACGCTTTTATGACTGATTTTGATTTAATTTTTTTTTGTTTCTATTGTGAGTTTAATATGGTAGATTATTCTTCTTTAAAGTGGTCCTTTTGGACAGACGTCTTTTACAATTAGCGATTATATTTAAATTTTCTTAAATTTTGGTCAGATTTATAATTATTACTTTTGTGAAAATACAATTGCTTTTATATGAATTTTTTTATAGTATCAAAACAGGTTTATTTACTTTTTTGAGCATGTATTTGGACTAAATCTAAAACTCAATTATATAATTAATTTGTTATTCCTTTTTCTTTTCAAGTCAATTTATTTTAAAATTTTCATTTCCAACAATTGACCAAGTGGTAGTTTTTTTTTTATTGTGCACCCCGGACGGGGTATTAATTCGATAACAAGCCTGTCCCGCCGGGCGACATGTATGACACTCGATTAGACGGAATCTCGCACAGGACTCGAACGGGTACGATGCCGGCGACGCGCAGTTGGAATATATAAATTTGACTATTTTTTTCGAGTTTGGGCCGAAAAGGCCAGTTTTGAAAAGTGAGAGGGGACTCGCGTGAAAAGTGAAGCAAGAGGCCGACTGCCCTAGATACCCACTCCTCGACACCGGTCGACTTCCGTTCGTTTCTTTTTTTGTTCTTTTACATTTTAGGCCTATTTTTTTTTAAACGAGCCCAATTTCGCTTCTTAGGGTTTCAAAAACCGTGAACCGATCATAGGACAATTTGTCGCAATTTAAATTTTCGATTTGTAAAAGTGTCATCCCACACTTTCCACTGTTAACTTCAATATATTAAACTTTTACAGGGTACACCATAAATGATTAAAAACTTGAAAATTGTGAAAATTTCAATTACTATTGTACGCATGTCTCTATATTTCAATGTATACAAATTGGAAATTTCCAAATTTCAATTATAAATATATTAAAAAATAAAAACAATCTTGCATTATCTTCTGATTTTAAAACAGCCGTCACATTCTTGCGGAAAAGCTATTATTTTATAAATAAAATTGTCATTTTGTTCAAAATTCATCTAAATGTACAAATGAAAGCCAAAAAATAATCCATAGTTCTTATAAAACTATGTTTCTAGGGTGCAATGTTTTTTCTTAATCCCCTTCTAGAATACATCCAGGCCCAAAGCTTGTTTAAACTAATAAAATCTTTCAACAATAAATTGTCAATAAATATTTGCCAAGAATTGAAAAAAAATTAAATGTTGGGTACTGTATCGATTCCGCTGCTGAAGTTTAGTGGCAAAACGAAACTCCTTGAAATTCACAGGATGATCGTATCCCTCCTTAATGATCGCTTGCGTGTTATAAATATTTGTATGTTTTTATTTTTTTACGAACTTAAAAAGTTTCAAATTGTGAAAAAATTCGGTCTAATCAAAACTTCAGAGAATATACCTGTTTCACATACCATGTCAACTTTATTCATTATATTTACAATACTAATCTCTTTTGCAATAATTAAACTTGAAATAACTCTCAAAGTAAATGTAATGAATTTAACTATTCAACTCGACCTTATAAAAAAAAAGAACTGTTAGTAGGAAATTTGTGTAGTAACAAGTGAAATACATCTGAAATTTTTTACTATTTATGTTATTTTTGAATAAATTGCAAACTCTATCATTATGAATTTTTATACAATCAATTTGCTACTGCCAGAAAGCATCTAACGTATAAGTACAAATCACAAAGACAAATTAAGATTATGGATGGTTAATTGACATACACCGTCAATTAACTATCATTGAAACTTTTCTCATGATAAGAAAATTGTACTCAAATTTAATTAAACAAGAATTAACTCTGAATATTTAAAAACACAACCCGATAATAAAAGTACTAATAAAATAACAAAAACTGTAGTTAAAGTTGACATTTTTTACGAACGTCAAAACTTTCCAATTGTGAAAAAAATTCGGTTTAATCAAAACTTCACAGAGGAACGAGTAAATAGATTTTAAGTAATGCAGTAAATTTTAAATCTTTAAAATCATGAATTATGTTTTTTAAATGAAATTATAAATTTTAATTAAGGTAACAATATGAATTTCAATTTTTACATCAAAAAAGACTAAGGGACAAAAGTATAATTATAAACAACGAGGAGAAAGCCAGATAACAATCAAACTGACTTATACACAATTAAAAATAACTACCAAAGTTAGATGTAATTGAGATTGTTGATGAAAGTAAAATATTTATAAATCCAACTGGATCATAATAATAATAAAAAGTAACATAAACTTTCCGTAGGAAATGAATTAAGGAGGAAGGTAAGTGGATTTAAAATAACGTGTTATTTTTTAACACTATGCATTTTTATTATTAAATTAATAATTCTGTCAATGTACATTGCAGTTTTACGTATGCTAACATTAAAAAGGGCCAAAAGTGTGAATTTAAACAGACAGGAGATGAATAATGATGAAACCGTTTGTACCGTGATTTATTATCAATCATAGGAATTTTCCTAATAAAATTACGAAAGTTTGATTCAGTTAAATCGTGCTATGAAAGTGAGAGTATTTATAAAGTTTAATTAAACTTAAATTATCTCTGAATTTAAGAGCATTTATAAACCTAACTCAATAATAATAAAATACAAAAATAACAAAAACAGTACGTAAGAAGTGAGTGAAGAAACAAGTTACGTAGATTTCCAATAATGCAGTATTTTTATATAATATATTGTGTTTTTATTAATAAATTACAAAATGTATCGACATGCATTACAATTTTAAATCTGCTAACATTGGAAAGGGCCAGAAGTATAATTATAAATAGGGACAAAGCCAGATGATGAGTAAAGATCAAACCGATTTATACTGTAAAAAAATCATTGAAACTTTTCTCGTTGATATGAGTATGTATCAAAATTTACTTAAACTTAAATTCACTATGAAATTAAGAGCATTTAAAAACAGAACTCGACAATGATAATAAAAAAATATATATAAAAGCTGCAAGAAGTAAATGCAGGAACAAGTTAAGTATTTTAACATAATACAGTTTTTGGAGATCGTGAGGTGCGATCTGGTGTGGCGTAGGTTTTAGAAAGACATTTTTTTTTATCATGCCAACGTTTCGATCTTTATTGAGATCATCTTCAGGGCCTGTGATTTATAAACATTGTTTGAATTTTACAAATACATGTAGCATGTGGAAAAAATTATGAATTTATACAATGCTAGAAAATTTAGATTAAAAAAAAAAACGAATTTATACAATGCTAGAAAAGTTTAAATTAAAAAAATGAATTTATACAGTGCTAGAAAATTTTAGATTAAAAAAAATGAATTTATACAGTGCTAGAAAATTTTAGATTAAAAAAATGAATTTATACAATGCTGGAAAATTTTAGATTCAATCAAAGTATTCGTACTCACTTGTACACGGAAAACAAACACTTTGATTGAGTACGAATATTTTGATTGAATCTAAAATTTTCTAGCATTGTATAAATTCATTTTTTTAATCTAAACTTTTCTAGCATTTATAAATTCATTTTTTTAATCTAAAATTTTCTAGCATTGTATAAATTCATAATCTTTTAACACATCCTACATGTATTTGTAAAATTCAAACAATGTTTATAAATCACAGGCCCTGAAGATGATCTCAATAAAGATCGAAACGTTGGCATGATAAAAAAAAATGTCTTTCTAAAACGTACACCACACCAGACCGAACCTCACGATCTCCAAATAATCATTGGCTAACCGTCACTAAACACCACACATAATGCAGTATTTGCTTATATGATGATTCATGTTTTTTTAAATATTAAATTAATACTTTTATCAATCATGTCAAGTGTATCACTGCCAACATCAAAAAGGGCCAAAATTATAATTGTAAACAAAGCCAAAGCCAGATGATGAGTAATGATCAAACCGACTTATACAGTCAAAAGATTTTCTCGTTGATAAGAAAATGAACCAAATTTAATAGAAACATAAATTATTATTCACTAGAAATAAAACAAGACTAATTTGTCAGAATCTTCGGCGCAAAAACGATGAGAGCAAGCTCCACCTCAGATCAGTAATTGTGTTGAGCAATCCTGACTAGTTTTAATGAACTATTATAACTAACTATGAATCCTAGTTCAAGGCCGATCTCAATTAGGCAGGGAGGCCTATATTATTTCCCTACCGCAAAAGCAGTTTGTTTACAAACATAAATTACTAGTTTACAACCTTTAATAACCTAGGAAAAAGAACAAGTTTAACAAGAACTTATTTTTCCCTTCTCTGATTTAAACTAAATCTGGCGCTATATTTAGCTCATTTTTGTTTGTAAGCACAATCTTGGGTATGTAAAGATGTTTATGATTTAACTTCTGATCCTTTTGATCTCGTTAATTGCAGAA